TGTTTATAGTTTAGACGGCAGCATAAAATGTGTTATATAAAGGTAATTTGCATCAGAGTAAAATAACTGAGTCATGGTGCTTTGCCAAAATGCAAATAAGGATGCAAATAATGCTGTTCAACCTCAGACTGAGATAACTCATGAGTATTATTACAGGAAAACACCAACTCAGTAACTTTTCTTATGGGAATGGTCTAATTGCTGCAACACTAACTGGTGTAAAAGAGTTATGTACTGTGTTTAAATGAAACAACCTTGACTCCCTCCTTTTATAAATTGTGTTTTTGAATGTTTGCTGTAACCTTGGTAATAAGGAGACATTAGCGTCCTGGCTGTGAGCTGAGATCATGTGGTTAAATCTCTAATGTGGTTCATTTTTTAAGGTGGTTGAAAACCACTGGATCGTGACAAAAACTTCACACAGACAACTTTAAAAGAACAGGAAGGAAAGGGAAGAGCTTTGAGAACGTTGTGGAGCATCAGAGTGAGCAGGATGAGTGAAAAGATGAGGCGAGGGATAACCAGACAGCTCCATAAATCCTTCATTAGGTACATGCTCCCTCTGACTGGTCCGGGGTGATGCACTCAAAGGGGGAGGTGAGGTGTGAATAACGTGAGCGGTGAGTCCCAGGACACAGCTGCCTCCCTCTGAGCCTGACCACAAAAGAGGCAAACCAGGCACCCCGTTTACTCGGCTCCCTCTGCCTCTGTAAGCATGGCAGTAACAAAGCAGCAGGATTCCCTCCAGAAATGGGAAACAAAGGTGCTCACGTCCTGTGTTTGCATTCAGCGTTCAGCTGCCTCATCTATCCTGTAATGACAGGGTGGACATGTTGAGAAACGGGAGGTGAAAGTGAACACTAGCGCAGTGAAGGAGATTAAAGTAGTTTTACTTAATATATTTGTATTTTCTGCTACTTTATAGTTCTGCTTCAAGACATTTTAGAGAGAAATGTTGCACTTAAACTGGATTTATTTGACAGCTTTAGTTGCCAGTTAAGATTTTGCATTCAAAAATATATGATAATCTTATGAAATACCACACATTCTTGAAGATTAAAGGTCCAGTGTTAAAGATTTAGGGGAATTAAGTGGTATCTAGTGGTGAAGATTTCAGACTGCAACCAGCTGAAACTTCTCCTGGTTAGAATTCCTTCACTGTTCATTGTCTGGGAGGTTTTTAACAGGAGTTGAATTATTCTCAGAGGTCTCTTCCTCTCTAAAACAAACGGACCTGGTGATTTAAACGCAAAAACGCTGAATAAAGGAGTTCTACATTAAATGAATTTATGTTTTTCCAACACTCTCGTCATGGAGGGGCTGCCAACTGTAGTGGCTGATGTGAAAACATGAATGGCCTGAGCCAGCGAGTACGTTTACATTCACGTAGTAGTCGAGCTAAGCTAATAGCTCGGCTAATCAGTCAAGTCGGACTTCACCTCTTGTTTGAGTATACATGCAGAAGAGAAAATCGAAATTCTGACAAAGTACGCCTGACTCCGCCTTGATAGCTGGCACTGTGTCCTTTTTAATGTAGTGCGTACTGAACTAGTTCCAGTTGACCCGAAGAGGAAGCTTACGACAAATGAAGATGACGGAGCATGAATGTAGTTTCTTCGTCCATCCACAAGTGCATCCTCTACTTCTTGGTCGCCATGGTGTTTGTTTGTTTGTTTGTTTTTCCGGGAGTTACTGCACTGCTATGTACTGAACTGCTGCTACGTCATCTCCTTTCGTCCTGGGTGAAAGCCTACGAAAGAAAAAGTGGTGCATGCGGAGAATGCCGAGTCCGACTCAAGTGGAGCAAGTGGATACATGCAGCAATAGTTTGATTTTCAAATTGAATTATCTAGGTCGGAGTAAGCTGTTTACATGCATTTAAAGGTCCGGTTTCAGTCAGACTAAGCCAAAAATTCTATTTTCTCAAGCTGCATGTAAACATACTGAATGTTTGGTCTATCCATTCTGGGCTACTGTAGAAACATGGTGGTGCAAAGCGGCAATTTCTGTAGACAAAGACCCGCTCCCTATTAAAGAAAAAATACTTACTATACGGGGCAATATGGGGCTTCTTGTTGGGTTTTGAATGTCTATGAGTTGTTAGCATTTCCACCAGACATTTCTCAAACTGTTCAAGGCTTAAAGAGGTAAAATTGTCCAGTATTTTTCCCCAAAAAGCAACTATTACAAAATACAAATGCAAAAATCTGTTTTCTCCTTCCTTTCCCATTTATTATTACACAACCTCTCAGATTCGTCTTGTGACCCTTTGGCGGGAGCCCGACCCCTAACTTTGGAACCACTGTATTAAACTACCTGACTGAATAAACAGTAGTTAAAACCTTGAATGCACCAATGAGGAAGATTTACAAAACACTCCCTGCTCTGTAACTAAAAGATAAAGGGAGCTTTATGCTGGCTGTCAGTCTCTGCAGTCAGAATGGCAGGAAATACATATAAATATTTATGGGATGCTGTTTTGGAAAATCAGTCAGTAATGTCTTGCAGACATGATTTGTGTTTGCTAAACTAAAACATGCAAAGCCACAGGTTTATGCTCTGATATGTCATTTCTTGTGGGTATGGAGAACATTTCTCTCACCAGAATTTCTGCTGAACAAAGACAAAGAAACTATAAGGTCTCAGTATGAAGGGCTGCGATGCTGCCTGCCCTGTGATTTAGGCTGATTAAACGGGGGCATCTTTAAATGGAAATCTTGCCTGGTGCAGCTTTAACTCTCTCGTGTGTCTCCTGGCCGTCGTGCAGCTGCCTGGCATCGAGGAAAAGGGGAGCCGTGGTCTGACCACCTGGCAGAGAGCCCGGCCAGACTCAGGAAGTGTCTCTGGTAGAGGGTGGGGGTGTGAGGGTACAGGCACCCCCTCTTCCTCCCTCCTCCACCTCCCTCCCTCTCCATTCAGCTCGTCACCTCAAAGCATTAGTAATGCATTCCTCCAGTCCAGCAACAAGCAGGGTAATTCAATTTCCTCGACAGTGAGACCGTGTGAAATTTCATTTGCATCTCTGGGTCTCTGTGTAAGGCGGGTTGTAAAAACCTCTCTGCCTCCATCATGCTTTGTTTGTTTACCGCTTTGTTTAGTTCAGCCCCCACAATAAACAGCAGGGAACCCAGGAGATTGTGTAATCTCTATATTCATCTTTTCAGACAGAAAATACCTTGAAAGATTAGAGGATTTTTTTTTAAAATTGCTGCCAAAAATGGTGCATTTTAATATCTTAGTAATCTGGTTGTAGTTCCTACCAAAAAAACCCCACACACATTTTAAAAGAATATTTAAAGTTCAGAGAAACATTTATAGACCAAATAAAAACAGTCTGGTCCAAATTTGTTGCGATTAAGATGATAAAAGCAGTATGTTTTTAGGATGAAGAAGGTCCACTTCCTCTATCTTTTTATAATCCATTTCAACCCCCAGACTTCCACATGAGAAATCAGTGTTTGGGGCGACAGCAGCTGGCTGGCGGTATGGAGGAAGTTGACAAAACCAGACTGGTGGCCCGGTGCTGACACTGACCTCTCGCCTGCTGTCGGCCCAGAGAGGTCAGAAACACAAAACTGCCTTTCTGCTCCACTCAAAGTGATCTGCATGCAAGCCTGTGGTCTGTCACTGCATTGCAGAACAAATAAATACCAACATACGCATTTATCTTGCACAAACATCTTCTATCGATCTTCAAATTTTAGAAGGAGCTAAAATCAAAAAAGTCTAAACTGAAATCCAAGTCTTAACTGAAACATCTTCAGTATAAATATGGGGAAAAGTTCATTATGTGCATTTTTATATTTAATTCTAGTTTTGTGTCTGTCTATGTCTATATTTCAACTCCTTGAAAATAGTTTTTTTTTGCTGCAGCTGTCACCAAATTTACCCGCAGATATCACAGTTTCATCTAATTTTCTATTAAGTACTTAACTTATGGAACTTTTCTCATTTGTCCATTTTGTGCCTACTTGTCTCCTCTCTCCTCTGTCCTCCTGTCTGTGACCTGGAACTCAACCTCAGTGAGCTATGTCAAGGGATGTCTCAGTTCCTTGTAATAGGTGTTTGTCTTCTGTGTAGTTTTTATTGTTTGCACTGCACAGCATCTTGAAACTTACTTAGAATAAAATGCATCTCGAGGAGAGAGGAGGCTTGTCGGAGGATGTATGAGCAAGGACACGCAGGGGTAACTTTAAAGGTAGTCTGTCTGGCACCCTTGATGTATAAGAGAGGTGTAAGCGGAGTGACACACAACTGATGATGCAGCTGTGCCACAAGTCATATTTAACTGACATCACAGTAAAATAACGGCACTGGAACACTGATGTCTCATTTTGTTAAATGTGTGTTGCTTTGACTCCTCTCTCCTCATGTCTTTTCCTTGCCTCCTCCACTTGCATCTGAGGAGAGGAGAGGAAGTGAGGAAAGGGACTGAGAATGTATGAACTAGGAAATGAGAAAAGCCTTTGGTTCTGATGATATTAATAGTAAGTGGCTATCCAGGGTCACCAACTAAATTAACTTCATGAAACAGATCATCTACATTGATTGTCTTAGGTATCTCTGGGGTCTGTACCATTTTGATCAGATCTCTCTGGCAAAAAAGAAAGTGTATATCAAGAGATTACCTGGTTAATGTGAAATTAATGAAAAACAAAACAAAAAAAACACTATAAAGTATAATCAAAATATAATTCACACATTTACGTATAAACCTAGTAAAGAAAAATGACCATTTGTTAAAACCTTTCTTGTGGATAAATGTAGTGCATTACATATATTGGTGATATTTCAATAATTTTTATTGTTTAACTCAAGGAACAAAGAGTTTTACTTGTTAAAATAACTAGTACCTTTGTGAAAGTAAACAGGGGTGAAAACAGAGCTGGCAGTGAAGTTATGCTGCTACCTAGTGTCTGTTCCTGGTCACGCTGACAGGACGCATCAGCTTCACAAGTGAAACATTTAAATGCAAAAACAAAGAAATCCAAACAATCAGCTGCACTACAGTTAAGGTTTGTTTAATTTTAAAACACAGCATTCAAGCTCAATATAACCACAGGTTTAACATGTACACATTTTAGAGATTGCAAAAAAATGATGTATAAAATAAAAATGATGACATCTACAGTGATTCTTTTTCCAGAAAAAACTCAAAGAAAATTAAAATCTATTTACCGTATTCACATTAATGAAGCAACACATCGTGCTTGCTAACGATCCTAAAATAAAAAATAAAAAACCAAAAGCAAATCAAATAGAAAAAATGTTTAAAATGTGGAATAAGCTTTTTAAGAGATAAAAAAAATGAAATGTCAATTTCAGCCACTTTTTTTTCTTCATTTTGCTAATGTTTATAATCTGTACAACTGCCTCGCGTTACAAACAACAAAGAGAATATGACTACTACCCAAAAACAGAAAGACTGCATCAGTGTAATAATGTTTTACAAAGTGTAAATGATTTGAAATAAAGTCAGGCTCATTTTCTCGTCTGATTGCGCAGAGGCAGCCAGGAGCGGTCAACTTTACAAAGTGGCCTCGAGTAAAGACATTTAAAAAGATATTCAGATAGTAAAAGAGTTGTGCTTCACTTGTTGGCACAGTCTCAAAAAAAAAACCAAAACAAAATCACCTCTTGTACTGGTCACAATGCACATCTAGGAGAAGCAAGTACAAACATCTCACTCCGCATTTGAAGGATCGTCACGCTTCAACAGGCAGTCAGCAGGTTTTCTTTGACAATATCCAGATTATAGAGAGAGCAGAGTTATCACAGTCCCTTCACAGCATCCACTCACTCAGATCTACTGTTGTTATAAATGCTAAAACACATTTGTGAGACACTGCATTGCCAATGCATAAAGTTTCTCTCTGAAACTGAAACCTGCCATATGCATACTGTCACATAAACTTGCTTTAAGATTCTTGCGAGAGGAATTTTGGACTCCAAACCGCTGTAGATCATTGCCACATAGAGTCAAGGGTGTATGTGGACAATCCCCAGTCCTGTTAAGGGTGATGAGGCTTTACAACTTAACAGGAACACGGAGAGAATAACAAGCAGTCTGATGAAGCCGCAATTTATCGTAGTAAGTCTGGAGTAATGTTGCAGAAGACATCACGCACAACTCTGTCCCCCTCTGCTTCACCATCCTCTTCAAAGGGCTGTAAAAAACAAAAAGTTTCTGCTTCCAGTAGTATAAAAACGTCTCATCTGTCACACTTTTTACGGTTGCATTCTTTTTTTTTTCTCATCAAACAGCTGCTTTTTCATCACGCAGCTCATCTTTGTCCTCATCGAATCCTCTGAGAGCATCAAGTTCACAGCTTCACAAGTTTATAGTCTTTGCTGCAAAATAGTGGCTCACCAATGTATTTTAAAAACAAAATGCCACAGGAAATAACAGTGTCCAATGGGGGGGAATAAAAATCAGACCTGTAAGACGTGCCATACGGCAGGAAAACTGGTCCCAGACATTTGATTTAACACAAAATGCAAAAACAAGCCAATGTGCATGTGCGATAGACAGTATGGCTACTTAAACTGGAGAATAACACACATATTGTTGCATTTAAAATTTCACAAGCAGAAAAATGAGATGTCGCACTGTGAAATTAATCTACCCTACGACAGATTCATCTACGCTGTGTGTTATGTGAGAAACAATGTCCACAATTAAGGTGGAAAGAAAGCAGTTGATTCCTCCCAAATTTACGAGTAAGGCAGTTCTCTTAAGTCTCCCACGGCGATGAGAGTGCAGTACAGTACTTAACAAAACAAAAACAACAAACAGTAGTAATCAGTGTTAGTCTAGGAGCACTTCCAGAGTCCTCAACACTGCAATGTCTTGTAAGATGTGATACCGTACATGGTGGTGCATTCATGTGTAAAGAAGGAGTGTAAAAGTCAGTCCAGGTGGAGATGAATTCCCAGCAGCGATGATGCTTTTTGCAATAATAAACATCAGCCAAGGGTTGTGGAAGTTGGAGAAAAAGCGTATGTGCACTCTGATCTGCAGGACTCCTCAAGTTTTGCTTCAACCAACCGGCGAAAAGCACATTTGGTTTTCCATTTTAAGTCAACTGAGACAGAGGAGGAAAGCAGAAGGAGGAGTGGCTATATGACAAATAATAACTGACTGACTGGATGAGAGACTTCAGAGATGTCAGCGCTGCAGACAGGATGAGTCCAGTGTTGTCTAGTGCGCTGGAGGAGGGTTGTTGGGATCTGGTCGGCTATTGGCCAGGTACTTTGCCCGCATGCTGGAGGTATACTGCGGACGAAAAATGAAAATGACAAACAAAACCCAACATGAATCATGATCTCTTTCATCATAATTAAAACATTTACTTATAAGCAGTACAAAAAGGGTCAGTCCAGTCTTAACACACTCCATGTAGGGTTTTCTCATTATTACATGACTTACATTTAAAGATGCAGGTTTTAAAAGGGATAGTTTGGATTTCCTTACGTAGGGTTGTATGAGGTCCTTATACATAGTCAGTGTATTATCTACAGGAGATTGCAGTCTGCACACTCTCAGTTTGGAGAAGCAGGCAGGAGTACAGCCTTGGAAACTGGGCAATGTACTGCTGTTGATGAGGCCTACAGCAAAACGTATTGTAGCCACCAAATAAATGAATACCAATTTAAGTGTACACTTTATTTTGAATATTTTCACGGCTTTCTTACGCTTTCAGCCCTTTCTTATGGGGAATTGAAGCCGCTGTATTGCTCTCTTCTAAACCACAATTTTACCTAACAGAACTTGGGAGTTGCTGGTCTACCGCTGCCTTGATCAGTCACTTTGTTTGTGTTACTGTAATACAAACAAACTGATCAAGGCGGTGCTAGACCAGAATCTCCCGAGTTCTGTGAGGTAAAATGACACGTTCTTGTCAATGGAGTCTGGTGGCTCCTAAGACAATATAGTAAGTTTCACTTTCAGGTCAGTTCCCTGTTGGAAAGGGCCGTCTGATGGCAAGATAAAGCAGTGAAAATATTTTAACTATAGCGCACACTTAACCTAATATATGTTTTGCTGCTCCCCCTGTGCAGAGGTAGCAGCTTGCTTAGCTTCCATGGTGGTACTCTCGCATGTTTTTAAAAGCTGGGGGCATGCAGTCCACCATTGACTGTAGGAAATCCACGGTCTATAGACAACTATCTTGTACAACTTCAAAAATCTAAACTATCCCTTTGAAGTCTTTAAAAAATGTACCTTTTGCTGTAGTAAACAGATTCAAAGGCTCAGTAATTTTTTGAGTGAGAAGAAAACCCTTTTGGTAAATAAAACATCAAAAGCACCAGTGGAGGAACATACAGATACGCATATTGGACACATCAAAGCTCGACAATTCATTCAACAGATCAGAAAAAATCCTACACGGGTTACCTTTCGAACTAGTTACTCCAGAGCGCTGGAATCTAAAGGGATGTTAAATGATTCAAATACACAGAGAACACCACAGCAACAGCTACAGATGACTAGGACAAGGAGTTGTATAAATATATAACACAAATTCTTGTAAAATTATTTCAATTTTTGCTTTTTACCTGCGTGCACATTCATATACATTTAGGATGCACCCATGCATTTTTTTTGATACAGGCGATACAAGCACAAAAAGGCTGCATTTCAAACTCATGTGGAAACACTAAGCTTTCCATTTGTAATACATTTACTTATGTTGCTGTCAGAATTCAGAGACATTTGGACAGCCTGGTCCGCATGTGAACGCTGAGTATTTGCACCAACATGGGAACCATGAACCAACATGACTTACCTTGGATGCTTAAGAAAAGCATGTATCATTTGTAGGGCTGTAACTGTTATTTAATTGTTATTTGTTTTGCCTATCATATCAGAAAACAGTGAAAAACATGTTTAGTAATTCCCCACATCCTTAGCTGGTTTTGTTTTGTCCAACTTCATAATAGTGTCTTGAGCGTAAATAACTTCAACATCTACACGGACTACCTGTCAGAGCTGGCAACTGCTGACTGTGATTAACCCAAACACCTAGTTTCACTGTCAGTCTAAATATGTTCAGTGCCACTTTGCCATCGCAGTAATGGAGGCAGTGATCACAACAAATAAATCAGCCAGCAGATTTGTCTATAGCACTAAATGCAGTAGTGGTAGGTAAAATATCAGAAAATAAAAATATGCAAGGTCTGGCCCCATCTCACAGAGACGTGTTGCTAGAAAGACAATACCAGTAAAACCAGTGTTTCCTATGATATGGCACACCTGCAAGTGCTACTCTGGTGTGCCGTGCATTGCGCATAAAATATTCACAACGTTTCAGCGCAAGGCGTGGAGTCGCACTGTTTGTCAGTGTTACACTTCAAATCAAGTAAGAGGTGGGATTTACTACTGTTTTGATGCTGGTAGATGTGGTAGGAACCCTGGGATATTGGCAAATGCAGACAACAGGTTGATAATATGCAGTATTTAATTACAATGAAGAACACCCCATTATTCAATTATTGGTGAATGTGTGCACGGAGTTGCATGAAATGAATCTCTCTTGTGAGGAGAATGCCATTTACTATGAAGATAAATAGGCTAGCTAGCAGGTTAGCTGTTGGAGCTTGAGAGAGCTGTGTGTGAGAGGGAGGGGGAATTCATCAATCATTTCGTGATAGTTTCATGTTGGCTACTGTGGCTTTAAACATGGCGATGTTGAAGTGGCCACACCTGTGGCGATGCGTCTCAGTGTGTGCTGATACAAAAAAGTTGTGCCTTCATTTTCCTTGTGTTACACACCTAACAACTGAATCCCTGATACTTCACCTCCCGAGATCACCCTCACACCCAAGAACCAAGACAAAGCAGACTCACATGAAACAGTTTAACGGCTTCATAATTTCACTCTGTCATTGACTCATAGGTCACAGTGAGCCCAGGGGCAGACTTACAGCTTCACATGTTCCTCCCAATACATCTGTGGTGCAGGGGGGTAGGGGAACATGCAGCCCAGGGCCACAGAAAACAAATCAGGTGAGACACCAGGTGGGACACTTAGCAAGAGTCAGGACAGAGGGGGGGAGTGGGGAGAGGGGTCCAGCAGCCCTGGTGGGACCTAAATAGAAGGTGAGTAGAGCTGGGAGTTTGGGAGGTGGTACAGAGGAGGAACAGGCCAGCAGGTGGAGGAGGCGGGCTTGTTTTGTACCTGTTAGCATAGCAGATGAGGTTACCAAAACGATCTTGAACTCTCCGAAGGCTTTAACTGCCAGATGTGACCGCTGTTACTGTCCGCGGCAGTCAAATACAACTGTATGGATTCGCAGGAAAAAAAACAAAAAAACGACAAGAAGAGAGTATAGAGAAGATACACAAAGCCACACGGACACCAGGGAGGGGAGGATCTCTGGTGGAGATTCAGGCCTGGGGGGAGCAGGAGGGAATGACTGAGGTTTGTTTCTCATACATAATAAAAACTGGTCAACTTGTATCAAGTCGCAATTTCAAAAAAGCTCTTACACACCATAAAGTTTTAGTGACAGTCATGTAGGGTCTTGACTTGGAAAGGAAATAAAGAATCCCGCACACTGTCCATCACTTGCACTAATTTTATTGATGACATGCATTTTATGTCGTAGAACAAAACGTGAAAATCTCTTAAGCTTGTGTTAACCATAGATCTTATTTCAGGCTTCTAACCAAAACCTCATTCAAAATACCCATTGAATTCGAGACAAGGAAACCCTAAGTACAAAAATGCTAAGTCATATCTGTGTTTGAGGACTTATTCCTCCAGCACTCTATAGGCTCTCACCTGTGAAAAAGCTGCCAGTAAGAGGACACCAGCAATAAACATGACTCTGAGCTCTTTTTCCTGGATTAGAGCCTGTTCTCTTTGTCTATATGAACTTCGTATGATGGGAGGTATGAGGATGAAAATGTCAATAGGTGATGGACAGTGCGCATGATTCTTGATTTTCTTTTCGACTTGTATCAAATAAAGACAGAAAACACTGCCATCTCATACATATACTGTATGGGTCAGGTTACAGTTTGACACTTTACTGATGCATGTAGGGAGAGTAAGTTTTGTTTTGCTTCCCTATACATAAATAGGGGCAAGTACAGTGCTGCCAAGCTGAAAGAGACACACTGTGTAAATCAGACTGTGCTTAGCTCAAAGAAACAAGAGCTACACAAAGTACGTTCTCTCTAAATACTGGTTCCCTCACTGTCCAATTACAGTACTAAGGTTCTACCATGGTAGTGCTACAGTTAACAGTGTGCCATCATATAAAAATGGCAATCATAATGTTTATCCAAGTTTCTGTGGCTCCCAAGTTAGTATGTACGCTTCTCTTATGGGGTACAGTGATGTAATAGAGACCAGGGTTCTATGTTGTTAAAAAGGGTGTTTGCCAATGCAGCAACTTCTCCAGGGAACCAAGAACCTTTTGAGGAACTCAGGAACTAAACCTGCATTCTGACTCAAGAACCAGGGACTAAATTTAGTTCCTGTAGGATAGTTTAATATGTATAAAAATGTCCCTGCTCTAGAGGGAATACTTTCTGTTGGTTCAGGAGGACTGGTCAAACGCCGCAGCTGCTTCAACTTGTATTCACAGAATAAAAAAATACTTCTAGTATTGATTATTATGACAAGGGGCAGATATGTCTTGATAATTATCAGAGTTGCAAACAAAGTTAGGCTTTGTTGTCAAGAAAGAGAAAGATTGAGAGAGTGTGTGTGTGATGAGAGAGACAAAGCTGCAGTCAAGCAAGCTAGAGAGCGGCGATGAGGAAGTGAGTGAGGGAGAGCAATAAAACAATTTGCTGATGGTTACATTGCAGTTATGTTCTAAAGCAGAAATAAATGACCATTAAACACAAAGACTGTCTACTGTGGAGTCAGACGTCGGCAGTTTTCAGCCTCCTTTGCCTCCTCTGCATTTGTGCTTTTCACAAAACAATAAACACACAAAAAAGGTTGACCGTATGAAAAATGCTCATCAAACGCCACCGTCTTTGTAAATTTGTCATTGGTCTAATTTGCATAATATTCAAGGTTCTTTAGAGGCTGTAAAAATGCAAACAGGAACATGCAAAGTTGCTAGTTTAATTCCTGATTTTAGTTCCTCTGGTTCCAGAGTCACTGGATCATTTTGGTCGAAAGGGGTCAATGGTTAGTCCCTCACAAGTGGCTGCCAAATGACCCAGAGGTGTTCCTATAGTTCTCATGGTTTTTTTAAAAACAGAAAATGCGACACTTACCGAGGGCGGAGGAGACTCTCGTCCTATCAGAGGCGTGTTTTCGCAGCGGGAGTTTGGAAAGTTGGCATTCTGAGCCCTGTTGAATTAAACACACAATGAGATGAAACGCAACAAGCTGAGAAATGTAAAAACCCCTAAACGCTGCTTTGAAGACATGAAACAATATACTGTATACATGAAACTCTCCACGTCCGTTTTCAGCATGCCAAGGCATTAAAACACAGAGGCAGAAAATGGGGGATCCCCTCCCCCAGCAGTTTCCCCAACACTGAGCTTCACTCATGAGGCTGAGAGCTTTGAGTTTCACAGGCTTCACAGCTGGAGAGCAACAGCTGCATCTGCTGTCCACTGCATGACTTTCTATAGTAGAGCTAAGCTCCTCTCTGGGGATGTAAATACCGACTCCTGAGAACATGACATATCTAATATCAGCCGCAACCTCAGGCTGTGAAAATAAATTATCTACCACTTCTGCCTTTCACTTAGTGTGGATTTCTATTTATGTTCACAGCAGTTTAAAGCAGTGGTGACTTACATGTACTCTGTGACAGGTGCGTTACTGACGGTGTGGGCTGCGGCGGGGATGGAGGTCTCACTGCCATAGCTGCTTCCACAGCTGTACAGGCTGGGCATATGGACCCGGTACAGGTTATCATGGTTTTGCCGTCCTCCGTGGCTCAGAGACTCATCCTCACTGTCCTCCTCATTCCTGTAAACATCACACAGCACTGTGAAACCACCACCAGAGGGACCCCCTGTTCTATCTGACTGATGACAAAGGAGAATCTAAGTGCCACGTGGTAACGTTTTGTGTTCATTCTCAGTCACATTTCAATTTGCTTTCATCACTGCCTGAGGGAGAGAAAACAAGATGAATTCTCTGCTGTGTGAAGCAAAGAAGATGCAGTTTTCCACTGACCTTAATGGGGCTGAACAAAGATGGTAAAAATAGCCTCATGTAATTGGTTCAGTTTCTGCACGAAAATTAAAAGCCCTAATATTGCTTTGGCACTATAAATGTGTGTGTGTTCACGTTGTCAAACAAAAGCAGTAGCCTACTCCTGCAGAGAGACTGGATTCCACTTGATACTTTTCAAACAATGAAGCTCAATAGAGTTTGTGAGGAAACAACAATGCACTGAACATGGTCTGTCAAAACAGAGCAACAGTGACATCATGGAACTTGTCTCCCTCTAGTGTTCATCTGACTAACCCCCCCAAAAAACATCTACTAAGTGAAGAGGTTATTACATTGGTGATGGTTCATTGTAGAACCAGAAAACCTTTGGAAGAACTATTATTTTTCTGTGAGGACATGTTTTACCTTGAAATCAACATTATTTAACAAACTAAAACCATATTTTTAACATCTTGTTTCTGTAGAAATGAAGATATCTTTTTGCTGAATGATAACAGGTTTTATACTGTACATTTAAAGGTGAATTGTATAAGATTTAGGGGGATTTGATGGCAACTAGCAGTGAACTGCAACCAGTAAGAATTCCTTCAGTGTTCATTGTTCAGGAGGTTTTTATCTGAAACCAAATTGTCCACAGAGGTCTCATCCTCTCAAAAACAAAAGGACCAGGTGATTTAAATAGCTGGAAACACTGAATAAAGCAGCTTCACATAACAATTCAGGTTAACTCTGGCACGGCTCATTGCAGCTGGGCTTCGTACTATGATGGCAGCTGCGAAATGGCCCTGTGTGAAGCCAGTGTTTCGTTTGTTAGTTCTGGGCTACTGTAGAAACATGATGGTACAACATGGCAGTCTTCATAAACAAAGACCTGCTCCTTTTGTGGATATATATGGCTCATTTTACGGGTTAGTATACACTAAAGAAAACATGCTTATATTTCTGCCAATATATCCCTCTAAATCCTACACACTGAACATTTAAATAGACACATCAGCAAAATCTGTAATTTAGACAGAATACTACTGTTAATATTTGGGGTGCATGAGATGTGTTGGTATTTTCCCACTTATTTGACCAAATGCTACTTTTCATTACAGTACTGTTTTTACAGTGCACAGGCATTTTTCTGAATATCTAATCCATGAAATCATAGAACTTGCAGCTTAAAGTGGGTATATCAGAGAAAAGGGTGACTTACTCATTGATCAAATAATATTAATCATCCTGCCCTAGACACACTAACCCTAAATATTCATTATAAACTTTCATATATTTCCAGATGAGGTAGAAGAAAATTAGTATGTTCAAACAGAAACAAAACAGAACAAGCTTAGCAGGAACCACTGAGAAAAACAGAGTGGTAGCGTGTAAGCCTTTGCTTTACAACAGGAAGCACCAGCTGAGATCAAACTGATGAACATGCCCCCCAATTGTTAAGAGGGATCAGTTAATTATGTGGTGCAGCTGAGCTGACTGACGGCTGTGCCTGGGAAACCACTTTCCTCGCAGTCATCCTGCAAACCTTATCTGCTGCTGATAGGACAAAGACATCAGAATGATTTCACCCCTCGGCTGCAGAAGACGACACCAGCTCAGGCGGTGGTTTATGATAGATTTAGGCCAACTCGGCACAATTAGGGGGGATAACGGGAAGCAATCTATTTGAGGAAGCAGCTGGGGCCTTCTGGACACGTCCCAGTGGTAAACACAGCCGTACACAAAACTAATCGTGTTTCTCTATCCGTGTAGATTTATCCTGAATTTCGTTGTCTGCTTCATTCCCGTGTCGTGTAAAAACAAGTGCTGAGGAGGGTTAGAAAAGATGCCATAAAGCCATAATTAATTGATAGGCTTATCCTCTTAAATTATTTCTCACTGTATACACACTCCTGTGCACGAACTTAGCTTAAAAGCTTCTGCACTGGCTCCTATGTGGTTGTGAGTTGAGGAGTGTATGGGTGGCCAGTAGATGTCTCACCTCTTGCTGTGCCAGGTGTGAGGCACACTGCAAACAATGGAGCTGAACATGAGAGCAGTGATGAAGGAGAAGAGCACGAGGTAGATGACGCCTTCCAGTCCGTCATAACACAGTCCTGTCATGGCCTGAACAAAGTCCTGTGAAAAGGGGAGACACCACTTTTATAAAAGGCAGGTAGGGCCAGATCAAAGTCTGCATTCAAACATCTACAGCAATTTGAGAAACCCAAGAAAGAGAGAACCAAATGATAGTGAAGAGGTAGTAAAAAGGCCAATATCGTTTTTAAATTTCAGCATGTGGATTCTAAGAGTCTTTAAAATGCATCTACTGTGATTTCTAATTTAAAGTAGGTCAAACAAATGAGCTCACAGTTGGCAAACTAGAGGGAGGGCAGTGCATCTTTATCTGGGTTTGAAAAGAAGCACTACACCCCACAATATCATGATTGAGAATCCCCATTCTGCACAGCACAAGCACATCTTGTATTCTACTGAAAATAATCTAATTCTCATGAAATAATGAGCTTTGGTGGTTAAATTTTTAAGAGAGGAAGCAGAGCAGAAAGCAAAGAGAAAGTTCTTGCTACAGTTGCACGTGCGCCTTTGGAATTTGGAAGCCACTGAGGGACAATTCTCCCAAGCACTGCAATGGCCAAGTACTTGTCATTCAGCCAGCTTCAGAAATGGTACAAAGCCAGCATCAACTGGACAAGAACTCACATACAGGAAGGCAAATGTTATTTATGGTGACAGGTGTACTCAGCTGCACAAGCATAAAAAGAGGGTTTGCTTTATGCAGCTAAGCTGCACTACGAGGATGTCACAACAAATCAATTGTGCGGCGCCTTTTCATCAGACATGGAGCAACCCTACAGTAAGAATGTCTCGATTTGTAAGTCTCCTCCTCGCTGCTCACCATGTGCAGGCTGCGACAGTCCACCAGGGCAGTGAGCTGATGTAGACTGATCTCTGTGGTGTTCAGTATTTCCTGGATCTTTTCTAAACTTCCCTGAGAATTAACAAGGAAAAACACACGATTAGCAATATTGAAAGAGGCTTAACTTGAATACCAAATTTGGCAGCTGTTGGTGTTTGGATACTGCAAACAACCTTTAAAAAAGACATTGGAAACTAAATTTGTATAATTCTCAATATCTACATTGCAAAAATACAACCAAATGGAGTAAACAGTCAAGAATAAGAAATAGCCAACTTTTCCAGAATGGAGGAAGCAGGTAAGAAGTAAACTGCGATTTTTTAGACAGTGATTAATTCAGTGATTATCCATTTATCAGTGTCTTTCGTCAATATACAACAGTACACGGAAGCTTCAGCTGAAAAAGCAGATTTTAATGTGCGATACATTTTAATGCACTGTTTCTGTTCTTCCTCCAGCTCTCATCGCAGTTCCAGCAGAAAATACGTCTGATAGCCAGATATAAACATTTCCACAACCTCAGCACATTTCTCTGTGTGGGTATGTGAAGTGAAATATGCCTCTCTCTATTCCCAATGTCAGCTCTCATTTGTGCCTCTGTCAACACAGTGTAAGGACCAGCGCCAGACAATACCACAGTGTTGTACTGACAAGGGCCAGTGAAAGCCTAATGCAGCTAAATGGACATAATGCAGGTCCCAGGTGGGCCGTCAGCAGATCTTTATGTAGACAGGTGCACTTCACTTCTCTGCAGGTCAGTCGTTTGGTCCCATTCACTGGGATATTCTGTCATCACAAACAGTACAATAGCACAGGACAGCTTATGGCCCGGTGTGTAGGGGGTAGGGAGGGTGAATGTTTATGGTAACAGCTACCCTCTAATGTGGCATCTCTAGTTAATAGTGTAGTGATGAGGCTGGAAACATACCTGAGTTTGTTTGTACTCTCTGGTGGCAGAGCGCAGCAGCTCAGACACGTCATCCTGCATCTCCACTAATGCTTTGTGGCTCCCCGAGAGCTTCTGAAATGAAGTATGAATACTGTAGCAGCCGGGCATATCACAATCTTTCCAACATTTTAATCATTACATTAAAACATTAGTTATCTGTCTGCCTTTGTAGTGCTGTGGACATCTATTGGAGGAGCTGAAAGGCTTACATACCATATAGTTTATATATATATATATATATATATATATATATATATATAGAGAGAGAGAGAGAGAGAGCTTCCTTTTCTTTACTGTCGCACTAACAATAGATCCCTGGACTTGAGCAGCACTCAGAAGTTTTGATTTATTCATGTGGGTTGCAAGATGAAATAAAGGTAGTCCATTAAAGCAAACTATAGATTCACAGTAAAAGTGCCATTCTGCCTCTCTAGCTTCTAACACACATCCTCTGATGCGCACACATGCTATCAGTACAGACAAACAGGAAGAGCTGCTCTGCATCTGTTTTCCTGCTGGCAGAATGGGAAGTATTGTATTATTGCATGGAAAAAAAGAGTCTTCTTTGGGGCAATGGGAGTGACTCATTGTGCCAGCTTGAATTCTCACCTACCTCAAGGTCATACATCATGCAGAGAATATGTCTAAAATGTTGTCGCTGCTGAGAATTTCATTTCATAAACATGACATTAATGTTGAGCTAGTAAGCTACCAGTCAGAGAGCATATGGGTATTTATCTAAAGGGTAAATGCTTGTATTTAACTCGTTAAACACACAAATGTGTAGTAAAATATGCAACAAACCTGCTGGAAGGGGTTTGTTTGTTCCAAATTGCAACTAAGGTAGTGCTGCAGGATATCTGTGGATTAAAAAAGGACAGAACATGTTAGCAGGGCCACATAAATTAGCTGAGGGGTTGCAACTGGAACATCAAAGGTATTCAATTTAATATCACATATGACAGAGAAAAACAGCAAAACCTTACATTTGAGAGGCTAGAACAAATGGATTTCTGACATTTTAAAACAAATCAACTACTGTGCCAAAAAAGTTGCTCATTGATTTTCTGTTTATTCACACTTATTAGCTTGTTATAGATATATCAGTAGGGTTTAACAATTGATCAAAACTCTATGAAATCACAATGTAGCCAACTGAAATTGGCACAGTATTTGTCAAAGGCAAAATGTGTGTCAAATACCATTTTAAATTAGATGTTGTTGTGTTGCAGAGGCATTCTGACCTACACATCATATTCCACAGACTTGAAAATCACCACACCATACACACCATCATGCCATAATCATCTTAATGTGTTTTTCAATTAAAAAAAAAAAGAGAATAACAATGTAAAAAATAGCACTCCTTTTCATGTCGCAATTGCAACAGTGTAAATAATCACAATGGCCCATATATAAAGTTATTGGATTCTTTTTAATTCCCAAATATCGATATTGGCCTCAAACTCCAGTTCCAGTCGAGTCGAGTTATAATATGTTGGTAAATTTGGACTGTTAGTTGGACAAAACTTTAATTGTGTCAATTTATTAACCAAAAAATAATCGTTTCATGAAGAAAATAATTGGCAGATTGATTGATAATGAAAATATCTGCTGGTTGCGGTGCTATTTGACTATTTAGATCATCTGATATGGGGGGTCCTTAAAGCTTTGTACGACTGTTTTAGGACGAGCATGAGCACAGTGCACTAGTGGAGTAAAATACTGCATTCAAAACACCTCATTTTCCGAAGCTCACTGATCAGAGTGGAGGCATGTAATAATGAGTGGCAGAATGACGTCAAAGGTTGACCAATGCTTGAACACACTAGTTCGTACGTGTTGTCCAAACACGTTTGAAGGAGAGGTGATTTAAGTACGTTCCAAACAGCCACAAGTGAAAGTGCAATCAAAAGCCTGCCATCGTGATAACTGTGGAATATTTAAACGTGGAATACTTTGGGTCAGCCCCTCCTTCTAAAATATTAATGGTGTTGCACAAATTTGTGAAATGGATACAACCTCTTAACAGCACATCACATGGTGGTGGGTACAAACTGTGTTAAAATTATTTGTTGGCCGCATGAAAGCGATGCCAATGCAGTCTATTACAAACAGTTCACAGTCCGTTCTATTATATTTAATCATACCTGCTCATTCTTGTATCAAAATGTAGTTTCGACTCTTGATTTTGGTATCTCTTTTTTCACGCTATATTGTGTTTTCTCTTCCCCACATCACTGCTTTGGGCACTACTAGAGGCCAGTAGTCAGGTAACAGTCGGATGCAGAGACACTGTATTTTGTTTTCCAGCTCTGTCTCGCTGTGTCCCCACTTGCCTTGTTAGAGCTTGACTGCTTCTGTAACTGTGCTCCCACTGAGCTAATCCTGAGCTATGAGGTGAAATGTTCCAAAAGAATAAAGTTCACACGTGCTGTAATAGTATGAATGAATGTGCTTTTTCCTGTGACGCAGCAACACTTTTCCAACAATAGCACCCAAAGCCAATGAGAGACTTAGGTACAACCCTTCTTACTGCACAGAGCCTCCTGCATAACAGCCCAAAGACCGGTTTAATCATCTCTGGAGTTATTGTTAAAATTACAACATGACCGAACTTGCATTCTACTCACGGTACACCAGGAAGCAAAGCAGACTCTAATTAAACTTTTGGACTTTCACATGCTATTACAACCCACTCTAGCTACTAACTAGAAGCAGTGAGTAGGAGTCGATGAGAAATCCTGAGTGACTCAAAAGCTGCACCAACGTCAACAAATACAAGCTGTGAGAACGCCACCGCCGACTGAGCACATGGTGCGAGTGACGTCCATACTCACTGCTGTGTCAGGAGCTTCTTTCCCACACAGTTGACCAAGCTCAAGAGGAGGATTTCCGGCACAGAGAGGTACATATTAAGCAAGCTTCTGTCATACACACACCCACACACAGAAATATCACGAAGAGCACATTTCCTACAGTCTGACCTTTGGTAATGGATGGAATAAATGACGTTCTTCTATCACTTAATGTCGACTGTGCTGACATACAGAATAAGTTCTTTCTGCCATAATGCACAATGGGCTGAAATAGGACTTAAGTAATGATCAAACAAATATATGTTTCAGGAACCATTACATAAATCTGTTACTTCTTTTGCCACTGTTCCATGTAGCAGAAAATTAGGAATCTGCTCTGCCCATGACTTAGTTATAAAAACCTCAGAATAAAGCTTCAGTTACAACATCATGGACAGCTTGAGTCTCTTTTACAGTCAAATTATTAGTGAGCTGTGGCTTCAGGCTATGGACACAAGAAAGCTTGCTTACTGAACAGAGAATTGGCAGCACCTTATCCCACCAGGTTCAACATTTTGGCAGGAAGGGAGAGGGAGTCAAAACAAATCTGCCTTCAGTCCCTGGAGCTTCAGTAAAGTTGCTATCTGAGGATTATCAAGTTTTCCAAGCATGAAAAATTGTTCACTACCAGATGTCAACCGAGATGATCAAGCAAATGCTTAAGAGGGAGACTAACTGTCTCAAAACAAGTTTAGTGAGTGAATAAATACTTGCAGGTTCTGTATGGAACATTAAGAGCATTAATAGAGCAGCAAACCACTACGTGCTATGTGAAAATATAGTGGAGCAATGGCATCCTGAGAAGGGAATGAAGTCGTGCAAGAAGCCAAAATACATGAGACATGGATGCAGCGCAACACATTTGCTGCATGCCTGTAGCAGAGTGTGCCCATTATAATATTTTGGCGACTGGTCTTTTTTTTTTTTCCTCTACGTGTGGCTCCACAGCGCTCCGACAGGAAAAAACTTCATATAACTGTGTACAAAAACAAGTACAATTTGTTTTAAAATGATAAAAAATAAATACCTCATTGTACCAGAGGAAAGCAGAAGAGCAATCCTGTTTTTGTTTTTTACATTTATCATATCATCATTACATAAATCAGTCAAATCATCCTGTCGTTAAAATGATCTGGTTAATTGATACAGTAACACTTAATATAGCCTACACATCCAAACCCTGCATTACCAACTGCATTATCATTTGTTAAAACTCAATACACACAGTATGAAGCTGGCAGCACCCACACACTGCGAAGACAGAACTGTGTAGCAGGTAAAAAAAAAAAATCCTGCTCCACCTATGTGATGCGCTGCATACGTACCCCATGCATCATGTCCTTAAATCTGTGTTTGTTTTAACCAAGACTGCATCGTCGCACCCCCTTCATTGTCCCCCTGGTTAACACTGTTAGCTCTACCAGCACAGTTGCCATTTTAGTGCTGACTATGGAGTTAGCACCGTTAGCTGACGGCTGCCAGCTCAGCCTCCTCCATGCTGAGAACTGTGTCCAGACAAAGACGAATTTTGAATAGAGCCCTTTAAAATATAGTCGTTTTAAGTGCTGACATAGTTATTCAGGTTTACAAATTCTGATTTAAAAGTCCTTGTCTTGGAAAAATGAAAATGCAGCTTATCTTTTTCACTGCTGCTACCATTTGTTAAGAATTTAACAAAGTAAACCACCAGAGAACAGAGAAATAAATTGGCTGCAAGATGACAGGTCACACAGATCAACTCTCGCTCTCTCTGTTTGGATTGAAACCATGTGTCTGACATAATTGTGCAATGAGGAGAAAGCAGAGGAATGAAAAATAACAATGAGGGTTGTTGAAATGATGCATGTTCAAATAAATATAACAGCGATCCAGAGGAGGAAAGCAATAAATTCACTGTAATAATAACACACTTTGTTCTCTCCAGAGATTTGTCTGGTGTTACTTTAGTCAGATATGAGCTATAAAGGGAAAACATACAACAACTCTGAGTGAGATGTTCCCTTTTCAAAAAATAACCTATATGTAAAGGCGTTATTTATATTCTATATTTGCGATATTACTGTAATAGTAATGAGCATAATTGAACTGTCAGAATATAACAAGGATTCTTTCAACAGCTGAACAGCTAACGAGTATTATAGGGCAAAAATAGAACAGAAAACACCCAACCTGCACAAATCAGCCCTGGGGCAAAATACAGCTCCATAGCTGCAGCATAATACAGTTTAGTGCATAGTTTTCCTCATGGTTCAGTTGAAGTCACACCATTTACAGCTGACGCTCTGACTTCTGCCTTAACTAATAAAAGCTTGGTTTGTGTTTAGCAAGTACCACATTTTGAAGAAGAGAGCAGACAAATGGTGAAGCTGATGATGGAAGAAAAAAAAAGAATATCAAGTGGGCAGGAAGTCCTTGGTATTTTAATTTCTAAGCACCATCCTCTCATTTTTATTTCCAAGAACTGAAGACAGATGCAGGAAATATATTGTGTGTCTGATTATTTTCTCCATTGCTCTTATCACCCTCATACACTCTGCTTCACACACACACCCAAGGCACTATCATTCTTTTCCCTAACACGCAGCCCATCATGGGACAGATTGGGCAATTACTAAAACGAGATGTGTTAGAGAGGCTTCTGTATTGCCTAAAAAGGCAGCTCATTGCCCTCTTGACCCTGTCGCAGATGTGGCAGTAATTTTTAGAGCCTTTTTATGGGCCATGCATGGACGAGACCAAGCCCCGCTCTTTAGAACAATGCCGCCTCACTGCTGCACAATAATCAGAGCATTGAGCCCAGGAAGGGGGAGGGGATTAAACAATTCAGGCTAATGTGTCCTCGACAATTTGAGATGACTAATATTCACCATTTCAGGGACATGTTGGAGCGAACACGCGACTGACTCATAACAACATGGTAATCTCAGCGCCATGTGAGTGAAACCTGTGTGCAATTCCTACCTTGACTGATGACTCCATACTGGTCTGCCACTTTGGTGACATACGTGTCAGGAGCAACACAGAAGTCACTGGAGGTCTAAAAACAAGAAAATAAAGATGTTGACACGAACAAGACACAGTCGTAGTGACACTTTTGCTGCAAACTAACACAACACTAAATGCACTGTCATGCTTGATGGAACATGGGAGTGTTGCAGCTTCAAAATGTGTTTACAATGTGACAGGCTGACTCCATCCCAGCTGAGCTTCCAGCATCAGTTAAGCAGTTTTTGTTCTCCATGAGGCAGCCAAATTAGCTGCTTTGGTCTTCTGTGAACCTTGGCTGGAATGTTATGGCTACAATGCTAATCCCAATTATTTTGCTTGTGATCACAGGTCGCACTACTGCTAATCTAAAGCAATTCCTGTGATTTTGATGCAACTAATTACAACAATTCTGTATTCACATTCAACATTTGCAAAAATACTTATTATTATGAATAGTGGTTTCAACAAAAACTGAGGACATTAATAAAAGCTCCCCTCCACTACTTTTAAGGGTATGGACCGAATTACATCAGTACTACAGAGTACCGATTCACGTTATCTATCAGGGCTCAATTTCGGTACATGAGAGCACATCTTTGTGAGACCACTTACGTCTACCTGTGACAGCTACCTCACTAGACTGCTATATTTGTTTGGTACCAACACAGACAACATTGCTGCTGTGGTGCTGCCTGCCAGCCCGATCTTTCTACACAGAATTTGCCTCTGATCATGGCCGTCAATAATATAACATTTAACGTTTATATTAATGGAGCCGTGCAAGTCACTGAATTTTCCACATCACAGTCCTACATGTGTTTCACAATAAGAAGCCAAATGAAGGGATTCTGTCCACAGAACCTCTACAGACAGAAACAGTGCTGAGTTTAACATACATATTCCTATGTTTTTGTGTGTGAGATATATTACAGATATAGTCATTAAAATTGAAGGCTGAAAACTTGATGTTGCTGGTGTGATGTCAACATGACTACCAACAGTTAATTTTCATTCTCAATCTTTGCTGAGAACTGTGCACTTCACACGGAAAAAATAGGCGACACGCTGAAACTCTAGATGAGCTGCAGCCAAGCTGTGCAGCTGCTCTAACCTGTTAACATGGGCACTGAAATGAAAAGACAGGTTTTGTGACGTGCACGTCCTGCTCAGGTAGGCGGTTTGGCCTGGGTGTGACTTGAGGATTGACTATGAGTGCAAGAGAAAGAGACTGAGCAAGATTACATCACCCATCCAACTTGTTCAGAAATTCCATTTTTGGTTTTACAGAGAATGTTAAGTACCAAAAAATACGTTTTGAAACCACTAGTAAACATAACCTTAGAATGGACTTATATAATGAAGTAGAAGACTTCTTGCTTCCAGCAGTAAGTGAGGTAATTTCACTTATTTTGTGGAAAAAACACATTTAATGAGTTAGGTCTGATCAGATTTTCACTACATGATTATTGTTGCAAATATTATCGCAATATTTATAGAAGAGTAGAAAAAAGGCAATAACAATTCTGTCAGTCACGTTCATCTTTAACTTTGATTTTTGAATTTTTTGTCTCTAAATAGAGAAAGAGAGTCTTTAACAATAACGAATCCACACAAAAAAGCAATTACACTTTGTGGATAGTAAAAAGGCAACCAGATGGCATTGGGGGAGGGAGACAAAGCAAGATCATAAAGAAACAGAAATGATTTAAGATGCACTGGAGTATTCACACAATATTATCATATTTGTGTTATTAACATGATGTCAATAATTCATTTTTAAATATCCTGGTTATCATCAATACCGGTATATTGTGACACCCCTAATATCAGTATTTATATGTCTTAAAACAAGTCTAGTCCATTTCAACTGTTCAGATTAAGAAAAATAAAACACGCCTCTTGGGCCAACTTCAACACTCCTTGGCTGAGCACACAAAAATCATGTTATCCAATTATATGTAATGAACTGTGCAGCTCTACCTGGAAAACAGGATCATGCTCTGGTGGAGACACTTACCGCAGAGACAGCCAACTCCAGCCCCAGGGAGACCCAGCTGATTACCAGAGCCACCACTCCAAACAAGCACACCCTGGGGAGAGCAAGAGGAGGTGAGAGGTTTAAGCACCTTTAACCTGCAGCATTACAGCAAAACTATCCATGTGTGCAACAACAATCCATACAGTGTGGAGGGAGATAGGTTAACACTAATTTAGCTGATCCTTTAGTATGTATCAAGCCTTTTGTAACCTTTTGTATGGAAAACACTAATCTCATCTTCAAACACAGTCTTGAAATTGTGCAAGTTTAGTTTGAAATACGGAAAAAATAAAAGGAGAGGGAGCTCAGTAGGTCCATAAACAGATTAACACAACAGATTTAATTAATAATTTAAGTTAAATGCTGCTAAATAATGATGTGCTGGAAACCCTTTGGAACAAGTGTGGAATTAAGGAAAAAAACTGACTATAAGATCTGAATTTAACCATTGTTGAAATTAAAAATACATGGAAACTAATTATAAATGTTGCTACTACTGTTTATTTAACTTACTTAGAACAAATTAATTGTTTGATTATATATTTGCTTTGCTGCCCTTATCTACCATAAAAGGAAAAACTGTAAAAACACTAAGTGGTCTCATTTTCTTTTGCAGACTTTATTGCATTTACTGAGTTATTTTTAGTGCCTATAAAAGGCAAACAGCCCTTTGCAGCTGCTCTAATGAATATAAAACAGTAGCAAAACATATTAGGAAAAACCAATAGATTTAAGTGTGTCACGAAGTGTTATTAGTAATCACCCAAATACTGAGAATATCATGGTGATTTTGCTAAACGAACTGTGGTTGGGCTGGTATTTTTAGGGCATAAATTCATCGTGACTAAACTGTAATGACAAGGTGGCCTTGATCAGCTGAAGGCTACATGTGCAATAATTGCCGCTCATTCTGTGACAACAGCTTAAATTATTTCCCAGGGCAGAACAATTTTCCCTTAAGTGCCCTTGTGGCCATGATCCCTTGATGAGACTCACCCAATAAGCGTTCCCTTGGAGTTGCGAATGAGGCCAAACAGCACCAGGAGGCAGATGAGGACGTCGAACAGTAGCAGGCCTATGTAGCCCAGCCACCTGTGAGGACAAATGTCATTACCAACAAATGGCCAAGAGCAGCACAGCATACCATCTCATCATGAATAAAGAGCTTCATGTTTAGAGCAAGCACAATAATTTAAACACGTATCTCATCAAAGCAAAATTCTTATTCTGTTACAATTAACTAAACAAATGTATTTAAAACAAGCAGGGATTTCTTTTAAAGTGAAAATCCACCCTCAAAGATATTTATATTTCCTCTTATTTATTTATCAGTGTAGATATTTTTGGTGTGAGTTACCGTGTGTTGGAGTAATTGACCACGAAGATGTCATCCTTCCCTAAAATATAATGCAACTAAATGGCACTCTGCTGGTGGTTGCTCAAAGCACCCAAACACTACATTTGAAAAACTCATCAGCAATGTCTCTTCCTGAAAATCCTAACCTGGTTACTAAAGATAATTCACAGACCTTGTTGCTATTCTAATTATAAAAAATATCAACTGGCCACTAGTATTAACTTAGACGACATGAATGACCTTGCAAACCCTAAATTTGCATTTACAATGTGTATCTAATATAATTTCTGTTTTGAATTCCAGTTGAGACACTGAAAACCATCGTGAGCCATTTGGCCAGCCACTTGCATATTTATAACTTCAGGCATACGGGTAAGCAAACCCAATACAGCCCAGAGGGATTACCACCACTCTTTAATATTTTCTACCAAACTGGAAAACTCAATGCAGGTTTGAGATTCTTGGTAAGTCAGCTGCCTAATGACATGCTGAACAAGCACGTCTCATTCCTTGTTGTCTGTGCTCGCATCTGCTTCCTTCTTCAGATTCACTTAAGATTTTCATTCAGAAACATATCTAACAGAGAGGCCTCAGCCAACACTGTCTCGCCACCAGGGAAGAGACAAAGTAACTTTCAACTTTTCAACAATATATGAACTCGGAGCTGACTGACAGCCAAGTCTTCACAAGCCATTAAATTAGTGAAGGAGTGTGTGTCTGCACTGAAAGTTTAATCAAAGAGATGAGGCACATAAATCATGGTCTGTTGTTGTCTGCGTCTCTCACTGCTGCTGCTGCTGCTGCTGCTGCTGCCACTCCCTACTCTCCGGCATCAGACAGAAGCTGAATATATAATGTGTTGCATTATGCTATATGACACTCTTTGTCTGAGTGAATGCTTGGACCGCACTATTACAGTCTTACCTGTACCAGTCATACAGCTCAATCTTGACGGCCAGCTCTTCCAGGGAGATGTTGGTGTTGTCCCAGAAGGGGATCTCCACCATCTGCCTGACCAGCTCGTCCAGCTGGCCCTGCAGCTTTTGGATGATGGACAGGTAGTCCGCGTGCTGTGCATACTGGGCCTCAAGCTGTTGCAGATTGTTGTCTACCGTCTGGTTCAATGAGGATGTACAGTTATATACCTAGAGCCAGCACAGGGACAAACAAGGTCATGGTGGAGATGAAGTAAAAGGAGATTCACTACACAGCTTTAGTGGTAGGGGGGAAACCAGGGATGCTCATGGCAGAAGGGCGATGAATTATTAAACACATTGGCATAATTTGTGCCCTTAGTCTCACCAGCTTCTCCACTCCAGTGATTGTGCGGTTAGCATGGCGCAGGGAATACGTCAGCCGGTTCACTCCATCACAAGTCTCGCCGTTCCCATAGAAACCGACAGCAATGCCAGCACTGAGGGGAGACAAAAGGAAGGGTGGGGAGACAGGGTGGTGAGGAGGAGGGATTAGCTAAAAAAGACACAGAGAGGAGACAGAGAAGAGAGCGAGCGAGGGGGATAGCAAGGCAGGGAGAGAGGCGTGTGAACTCTACATTAACCCAGTCAGTTCAGACCCAGTCAACAGGCTCCTTTCAGCTCCAGCAGAAAGACTCCATACAGAACCATGGAAACACAGAGGAATGGACCAGCTATGCCCCAAACCCCATACTATGGCTGACAAAGGCTGTACTGAGGCAGGAGATCAGCTCTCATTTGCACAGACAGGCTTCAGGTTGCAGAAACAGTTCCGGCGACTGCATGGGAAACAGTTTCTATAGGTACAGCAACAAAAATAAATAAAATATTCCAACAATTTATTTGTACACAATCTATGATCCACTATCTTGATATATAGCAGAGAGTAGAAGCCATTCATAGTGACACAGTGACAAAAAAAACCCCTCTCTTTCTTTGCTCTGAGAAGCAATTTGAAGCAAGAACCGGTATCTCTTTATGTGCTGCAGCTGCTGGTCGTTTTGCTGACCCCCATCCTATGCCAGAGCTGATTTTATCAAGTAGGCTGATGATAAGCGAATCACTCAAAGCAAAGTCAGAACAAGTCTAACAGTGTACAGCCAACAGCACTCAGTGAATCAATGGGCTCTCCCCGCTTCCTGGAGGGCTGCTAATCTCTTCCTCTCACACTCTGCAGTGAGAAAAGGTGAACAGGAGCAGTGTCACTGCAAAAAACAAAACTCCCTGCTGTGATGACAAACCTGTGGAAACTCTTTCAATACTAGTGAAAACAAGACTAAAAAATAACTGTAAAAAACAGAAATAAAATAATGATAGTCCCAATATTGTCAACAGTGGTGCAGTTCTTTGTGCAATTATGCCCAGCGAGAACTCCAAGGAACAAAAGCAAAACAAAACAAAGCAAAGATATGTATGATCTCTCCGACTCTGTTTTTCCTGCTTTCACTAAAACACACTTGTGCGTGGGGAACAAGCACACACACAGATACAGTGATTGTAATGCAGTTCTTGTACTCATCAGGTCCCCAAGCTCTTTGTGCTACTCTGAATCAACCGTGATGGCTCTCCAGTGGCCCATCAACAGAGGGAGGAAAACAGGAAACAAATGCAGTGTTCAAGAATAAAAAAAGCATGTCCAGATGGTACAGTTCTCACACTATCTGCTGCAAATATCATATAAAATACAAAAACAACAAAGCATAAAATTGAAGACTGTTTACATAGTACTCCTATTGTCTTTGTGTTTTATGTCTGCTCATATGGAACTGTAATTTCCTTCGGCACTATTGTACAATTTTTGTTTAAAAATTCCTAGCAAGTGTATAACTCACTTGTCATCTGTGCAATTTTGTGGTCATCAGTCTGGGTCTAAGTCTTGCCTCAGATGCTTAGTTTACGGTAATTAAGTCCTTTCTGGTTAGAAGTTGTTTTATAGAAATGCGATTTAATTTGATCCAGGGTGTGTCGAATTTCAGGCATTTGCCAGCTATGCAAGCATATTATTCTTTTGTTGACCATTTCATATAGAAATATTGAGGGACTGAGCAAAATTTCAAACCTCTAAATTCCCATATGATATGAATTTTTCATACACCACCATACCAGTGCATAATTGAAACACTAGCTGCAACTCTTCAACAGGCAGAAATATTCCTTACAGAGCTCATCGTGAGGAGCAACCTGGTCGAAGAAAAGTGCATAGTATGTATTGAGAGGGAAGCCCTTTTAATTGCACACCCTTCTAACTAATAGTCTCCAACGGGGCAATACCATGGCACAAAACAATGTGTGACACCTAAACAAGTTGTTGCACCATTAAGCTGGGAGAGCCTCTGTCGCTCTAGGAGGATGAAGACCAAATGACTGGAGAGGCACGAGAAGAACTTGTGCCCAAGAGAGAAGCTGTGTTTGCTGTTAGGAAGCTTTTTTGGTTTTAAAAAATCCAACTTGCATGCTCCCGAAAAAGAAGAAAACACTTCAAAGACAACCCAGCGGAGCTTACTGGTAATGTCAGCCTGCAGCTCCACTTTTCTAGACACCATGGTTACCTCCAGAATCAGAGATGACAGAGAAACAACAAAACTAGAAACTTCTCCTGCTGTCCTACAGACAGCGGTGTGACATGATGTTGCCTTCCCCGTGAGTTATATAAACAGCAAACACATAGGTAACTACTGTCTGCAGGCTACGCTAGCAAAGTGAAAATCAAAATAGCTTTGTGCAGGTGAGGAAACTCAAGCTGTATCCCCTGTGGTACATCTATATAAAGGGGGGAAGAGATACCGTGATTTACTACGAAAAAATACTGTGATATACATTTTTGGCCATACCACTCTCCACTACTTATTCCTATTATTGTAATTACAAAATTGTGTGTTCCTAGAGTTAATGTTGTGTGCTCTGGTGTTTTAAGGATATAGACTGCCTCAGGGTAGTTCGTGCTACTATGTGAATCTGTAGCTTTCCATGGCGACCACATAATTTCCATGCAGTCTACATGTTTAGCCAAGATTGGTCAGTAAGTGACTGGTGTCTTTCCTCTTCCTGTATCTTTGTCTGTCTGTGTGTGTGTGTGTGTGTGTGTGTGTGTGTGTGTGTGTGTGTCTGTGTGTGTGTGTGGATGCAAAGCAGCTAACATCAAGGACACAACTGGTGAATGCCATTTGCAGACATGATTACTGTGTCTTGCCCGGTCAAACCCAAATAACTCAAAGCATGAGAAAGAGTTCAAATACATACTCTCCAAAAAAATGCATCAATTTGTCTCAGGATATTCTGAATTAACTTTTTTAGGATTAACTGAAAAATGTCAAAATGTGACTATGCTTGGGGATCTGAAAACAAGGCCTATGTGTTTGGACTCACCTGCAGACGAGTGTTGCAATGATGACACACCAGGCTGTGCAGCAGCAGTCAGCGTTGGGCTGTTCCTCATTTTTGCTCCGCCGGCAGCACAGACAAATGGAATAGATGAGCAGGAACAGAAGGTCCAGGGCCAGACAAGCGAGCGCCACACCTCCCAGTAACAGGATAGACTGGTGGACAGAGGGATAGGGTTGTGGAAACTTCATTGCTGATACCACTTTCACATCAATAACAGTGGGGGGGGATAATGGGCTTCCAAAATGTCCCACAAAGAAACACCACAAAGTAGTCTTGAAGAAGAGCTTAACCTTCAAATACATCGCACTCGATTTTTTATTAGTGTGCACCAGAAGCTTTAATGAATATAATATTAAATTAAACTGATAGCAAGTTTTGTTCACAAGTTCGTAGAGCATGCACTACAATCACGAGAAAACATCTCTAAAATAAGATGCCTCATCCCTTTCCCTGATTACAAAAGAACAGAAGGTGCTTTCGGTTTTGAAGAAGACCATAAAAGCCTGTTCATCTAAGCACAATAAGTACAGTACCAGTGGTGGACTTGATCAACAGTAACAACAAAAACAAAAGCCCTCTTTAAAGTGGAATACAACAAACATTGAGAGAGAAATACTTTATGCAATAACATCAAGACAAAACTCGTAATACCTGCTGTAGATTTACAACTATCAACGCCGCACATTGGCAACATTTCAAAGCTGGCGCTAGAGCAATATACTATCATTGTCTAACCTTTAAGCCAACAGCAGCACTTCCTATGTAGGTCAGACAGAGGGCTTCTGTGTTCACTGTATACTTCTGAGATTTCACTGCTGGGACAGATTTTCATCCTGACACTTTTGTTTTGTAAAAACCCAGGGTTGTTCTGTTTGTTCGGTCTTCTCAACAATGCATCAGAGTGACTGACACGCCCTGGTGCAGTGGTTGTAGACCCGCTTCACAGCAGTGAGTGAACTCAATCTTGGAACGACTGCAGGCTCAAAGCACAGTCTTGACAACACAGCATTTGGTGAGACTACTCCTTTGAACTAATCCTGTTTAGCAACTGTGATAAAAAACAAATGACAGACTGGGTAATAAGACACAAATACCATTTAATGACTTGGCTCCTGTATGTTGCTCTGCACAATTCAACCCAACAGGGCTCACTGGGTGCATCCAGGAGTAGAAACTTAAATCTTACAGCACTTTACTTTTGGTGCTTTGCTTCCATATTATCTGTGCAAGAGGTAAGAGTGACATTACTGACAGCTGACAAGTCAAGACTTCCCCTGAAGCCTGAGTGAGAGCATTGCACTGACAATAATTAGCAGCCTGTCATCACACCTCTTATGTTTTGCTCTTGTTGTAATAACAGTGCAAAGGGAGTGATATAATATCTTCCACCAGCTCTATATGCATGCTGATAAAATATGCATTAAGTTTCCACTGAATATCCTTATCCTACTAACAGTGTTGTTTTTTTACAGTGAACTTCCCAGCTGTACAAAGTGAGCGCCAAACATACAAAGCTGCAGCCATTATCCAGTCAATGAACCCTTCCTGTGTCCGACCAGAAAAAGGCTCCCAGTGAAACCTCAGAGAGATGGAAAATAACAACAGCGAGGTGGCACAATGACGACCTTTTTCAGCAAATGGACTCTAGTGCCACCTCAGGTAAACAATACAGTCCTCACAATGCTCATGTTGTCTGAACTAGAACTGAAATCAGAAAGCAAATATCTGACATCCACATAAGTTAGTCATTAAACAAGGATGTTCATAGTTTTACAGCTTTGATTACTTTTGTTTTAAAACATGAATTTCTGTACAAGCTTCAGCACAACACCGCCACTCACAATGATGCAGGTCTGGAAAGTCTTCCCGTTTCTCAGGGACCATGATTCACTTCTGCATTTTCTGAATCATACTTCCACAGAAAAAGGGATGCACCATCTTAAGCCTTCCACCCATATCTGGCAATGTTTAACTTGTTGAAAACGACCCCATAATTCTTGTTAATTCCCTCTGCCCTAAGTGGTATGTGAAACCATAATGCTGCATGCTCATAACTCAGTGTCTTTTAAAAACCACAGCACCACAGAAGCTAACGATTTTGAAAAAGGAGCAGTGCAAACAAAGTCCATTAAGCAGTTAGTTAAAGACAATTATTCTTATTTTATAGTAAAATAAATGATGTTGGTACATTTAACTCTTTATCACGCCCATGGCAAAGTAAACAACTCCCCATCTTACAAGACAGCAGATTAAGTTCATTAAACAGTTGAACTGACAGTTTCCACGGAATTTCTTAGGAGGATTTGCAAGATTTGTAGGATTTCTTTGTTGAATGTTAAACCAAAAAGGTAATCTGAAGTTAATGCTGTGCCATCTGACAAAAGCGATCCTATTTTATTACTTCTTTTTAAACAAAATATATGCATAGCCTCGATCCTTTGGGTCAAAGCTAATAGGTGTCTGTGTCAATCACTGTTTTGAGAAACATAACCTGCACACCAACTGAGGCGTAACAGAAACCAATAGCATCTGCATAAATTAGAACACAGTAAGTGCTTAACACCCGTTAAAACTACCACTGCAATCGGAAAACGAAGTACCACTTGACCTAAATTTAGAGATTTTCTTTAATATTAACCATGTGAACAAATGCCATGCTGCTCTCCCCTCCCCCCCGTCTCAGATGTTCATTAGGCTGTGCAGCCTACTTATGGACGTATGCTACCAATTGAACCTCTTTAATCTAGACATCCAGAGTAGATGAGGTTAAGATAGGTCAGATAAGGTTTTTTGCAAAGCTACTTCACAGTCCATGTGCCCCTCACATTATACAACAAATACAGGTTATGATTATATCTTAAGGAAAATAAAATAAGCAGAGTATGGTTGATGAGCTCAACTTAGGTATCTTGGATCACACTATATAATGCCAGCTGGTTGGTGTCTGGAAAAGGTCAAGACATGGAAAGAACAGCTACACACAGATGGTGGCATGGATCAAAGGGTGAAGAGGAGGAACAGGTGCAGACAGGTCATCTGGCACAAAAAAATACTAATAATTGTGACTTGAATTTAAGGCTTTACATTTGGAGAAAGTACTGAACACACTCTTATTATCCTGCTCTTGGAGGCGAATACTAGACTGAAAGTAACAATGAAAGACACATTAATAGGCATCTGTAGGATGCCTGGGAATCACGACCTCTTGGGTCATGTGAGAGGAGGCAAGGGGGTCAGTGAGGTATGTCTTACCTGTTGATATGTCCAGTCCTCTGGCCGGAAGTCACTGCTTGTCTGCTCGAACATGAAGTTGAAATGGGGAAGTCTGTGTAGAAGGTTCACCCACCATGGTGGAGAGTAGCTAACCACTGCTGCCATGGCGAGGAAATGTCAATGAGATCCACTCACCAAACAGGCAAGCAAGGATGCTTGAAACTGTAAACACAGAGGGGGAATCCACTTCATAAAGTCTGTCTGTATCCGGGATGAAAGACAAAAACAGTGGTGCTTTTCTAACATTAGAAATAAAGTTAGTAAGCTAGCTCACATTAGATATCGTTTAAATGTTATGTTAACTGTGTCAATCAAAAATATTTATCTATCTCATCCAATACACAATTTAAAAGCTGCCCACACTGCATTAGGATAATTAGTATTACAAGCACGACCAGACAGCACTTCCCTAACTTGACAAACGCTGATGTAGCCAGCTAGCTTCCTAACATTAACTAGTAGCTAACATTAGCTTAACGTTAACCCCGGGCGACCTGATGCTAGTTAGCTTGTTAACATGTCACTTAAGTCAATTGTTATGTCGCCAGCGGCTATCCTCTTGTTGTATAAGTTGAAAACTCCACAGTGTCGTGGTCTATTTAAATTTCGTCAAAAAGCAGTGGTTTTAAAAGCTAGTATTACCCGTAATATAGCTAGCGTTAACTCAGCTAACGTTAGCCGGTTTAGCTGCTGGTTAGTTCAGTCCGATGAGACTCGAGCACGGAGGCGAATAACAACAAGAAGTCTCTTTTGTTCCACTTGACATTCTGCTCTGCGGTTAGTTACATCCTGTTTTGTTTAGTTGGTTAATCCCTCGGTTCCTCTTTTGCAGTCTTATTCCACCGAAACAGCTCAGAGAAGCTCCTCCGGATAAATCATCCATCCAGTTATTAGCGGAGTGCGGGGAGACTGGGGCCAACGCGGCGACTGTTCACGACATTCACCCAGCTGGCAGTCTACCCGGCCCGGCCCGCACACAACCCACCTCACCGGCATCAAAATGACCCAGTAGCGCCACCCGGAGGCGACACAGTGTTGGTGGTCAATACGAGCAGAAAGCAGGGATTTCTGGGATTTAACCTCATACGTGTTCAAAACATGCAGCTGTCGCAACAAAATGAAATAGAAGAAATAGAAGTCATGTACTTGTTTTCAAATATGCAAATGCCAGTGGTGGAAGAAGTAGACTGCAACTCAGATCTTTGCATAAATAGAAATAGCAATGCCACAGTGCCTAAAAAATAATCTGGTACAAGTCTTGTATTCAATTTTTTTTTACAAAAGTTTAAGTACAAAAATACCAGTCTATTCCATAACCTTGCACATGGCAAATTTGCACATCTTATTTTCCCACATTACCACTCCCTTGCTGCATCTGTGTTTTGTGGTGGTAGCAGTGTGTCATCCCATGTACATATTTAGTATTTTAGTATTGGTATTTTAGTATATTTAGAGTGTATTTCAGCATATTTTTACATTGTGTATTCTATAGATATTAAATAAATATTTATCCTATACTTACAGAGTATGCTAAGGTTTATTATTTTTTGATATATAGTTTCTCTCTGGTGTGGTATGTATATTTTTGTGTTTTACTGCTTTTGATTTTTATGTGCTGCTGTAACAAAAGAATTTCCCAGTCTGGGATCAATAAAGTGCATCTATCTATCTCTCTATCTATCTGTCTATCTATCTATCTATCTACAGCATGGTTCATTTCAGAATATTATAATGATGGATTATGATTATTAATGCTTTCATGTGTTCATCACTTTAATGTTGCAGCTGGTAAAAGTGGAGCCAAATTTTTAACTTTATATATTGCTGTGTGAATTGTGAATTTACCCTTTGGCCATCAGCAAAGTTTTATTTTAATCAGTGACAATAAATCATAAATTTTCGTTGATTATATTTTGTATTTTTAATCTGAATCTCCAAAGTAACTAAATTAACAATACTTGCAGTGACGTAAAAAGTACACTATTTTCTCAGGAAATACTAAACAGTTAACAGTTAAAGAATAAATCGCATAATATGGAAATACTCAAGTAAAGTACAAGTACAGTACTTGAGTAAATGTACCTAGTATAGTAATTGTATTTAAATATCAGGAAAGTCGTTTTTATGGCTTTAGCATCACAGAAGCTGAAACTTCCGAGGAGGTCTTGAACGCAGCGTCAGTTATTCAGCCAAGTATAAAGAATGAGGAACAGAATGTTTTAAGCAAATTTACTTGCAGCCAAGTGAAACCAGGAAATAAATAGGCTTTATTAAGACAACAGTTCCCACACTATTATGAGAAATGTTGACTGCATTAACACAGCTGCTGACTGAGCTGCTTTGATACAAATAACAAACACCAGCGCTTCTTCATTTCTTTAAACTTCACCACTGCAGGACATGACATGCTCATCAGCTGTCAGTGCATGTAAGTGAAGGTTTATATTGCTCTGCTGCACACTTGGACTTTACCCAGCGCTCGCTACAACTTTAAGAAATAAATTACTTGTTTTTTCTTTTCTGCAGGAAATCACATGGAGGTGCTCTTGCGCTCACATGACAGTCAGAGCCATGGCAGGAGAGATCAATGAAGGTACGGTGCGAAAACTTCTTCTGCTCTTCTTAACACAGTGTTGCCATGTCGTTTCTTAATCACTTTGCTGCTTTGTTTGGGGTTTCAGTGTCAAACCGGTTGAAAATATTGTATTAGATGTTTTAAAACGTTGATATCTGTGCTCGGTGAAGTCGCGATGGGAACTGACCAATGAGAACTTTTGGGTACATTAAGATCTCAAAATGAAGTTGCTCCATCGTAAACCCTTCCACGAGTGCTTGATGTTATTTTGATTCGCCTGTTAATGTTTTCTTGATACCGGATGAGCTACAGTAACTATTGCTGTTAAAGATAAGCAACGGGTTTAGGAAAGTTTTGATGCTTTTTTTTCCTGCCACGTGAAAATCAGTCGGTTGCAGTACATAAGCTGTATATTACTTAGAAGTCAGATTTCATATCACCATCTTATCTACTGCTCACTACTGTAAAGCTATGATAAAGCTGATTATGTGCTGTTTTGGATACTTTGAAAAGTAAAACTGTACAATCTGTGTTGGGATCATATAAAGTCATATGATGGGAAATAAAGTGAGTAGTCCTGTCAAAAGGTGGTGTAAGGTAAGGTCTTATGTTGCAGTGATTTTTCATTAGGGCTATGCTTCTGATCAACTATTTCTTACACTTGGGTGGTTGTGATGCTACATGTAGGTGTTGTTCCCCTTTTAGGCTCAGTTCCTGCCTATTACAGGGAAGTATATGAGGCCATCCGCTGTAGGACAGATGAGAGAGTGCAGGTTGAAGTTTTTCAGCGGTTGCTCCAAAGGACTGATCTCTCCAAGACGGTTGTAGGCCAGGTGAGGGGCTCACACTTAAAACATTAAGCGGCTGCAGCAAGCAACAGTCTGAAAAAAGCTGTAGTTTGTAATGGTACAGAGGCAACACCCACTAGAAACAACAGTAAAGAACATTTTCAAACAAGTGTCACTTTTAGCTTCTTGTCTTTTACCTGACATGTGTATATACCTTGTGTATCCTATCCATCCATGCATCCACATACTCTACTTATTGGCTCTTATAGTCTTGAGGCTTCAGGGTGAAAAGAGGCTGGAATATGAAGTAATTATTGATTAGTAAATTGAAAAGGCTGAGACTCATGTTTTAACTAAAGCAATGAATTAATAAATTAAACACATGAGCATGTAATATGCTTGTGCAGAGTTGCTCTGATACCGATACCAGTATTGGAAATGCCATGCGATACTGCCTAAAATGCTTGATCAAGTATCGACAAGTACACAGGCCCAGCACCGATCCGATATTGTCGATGCCAATAAACCTTCAAGTAGTTTCATAAGAGAATGAAACAGCCATTTTCCCGGGAGTCATTCTTCTTTGCTGCTCTAAAACAGTAGCCCACACATCAAGTTGTATTGTGCAGCCAATGGTTACTACTGTCTTACTGTTTTAGAGCAGCAAAGACTTGATATTTGATAAAAAGTGTAACATTAGCCATGAGAAAAATGTCAAACTACATAATCAAACAGTTCTATTGTGTCCATTCTCTGTATGTTTCTGTTAATGTTTAGTGACAACTATGATACCAATCATTTCACATCATGTTGTTACATTTTTTTAACCCAGTGATATTGGATCTTTACTCGGTATCGGCAGACACACAAGTTCAGGAATTGTAATTGGCATCAGGAAGGAAAAAATGGTATTGGAAATTTCTCTGAATATTTGTTTGATTCTAATACAGCATTATGTTTTGGGAATTTATATTAGGCAATACAGATAATATATTTGTATATATACAGATATAGGAGTAATGTATTGTCAACAGGAAGTTAGGTAGGTACTGTGTGTAGGTTAGCAGATTGTGAAAGACACAGATTTGGTTTTAGATATGAGCTAATGCGACAACACACTGGTGTTATGAAATCACTCTTAGCGTGTGAAATGTTTGTCATGGTTCAGAAGAATTTCCCCTTTCCTGACCATTCAGCATATCATTGCCTTTGTGTCTAGTGAGCACTTTTTTGCGTCGAGGAATGCAGACCACAGTTGAATTTGGATCTTGGACCGAAAAGCGGCAAGCTTCACATCATATTGTCTTTGTCCCCCTCAGATTGCTGAGCATGTTGACACCACAGATGGATTCCTGAGCAAGTTGTCACTTTATAAAGCACTCGCCTTGATTGCTCTTGCTCAGCAAGGAAAGCAACCAAGCCCCAAATTGTTAGAGAATTGCATACAAGGTAAGTGACAGTGTGGCAGCAGAGCAGTAAAGGTTTTGCTTAATGAGTAGCTTGATGATTCCTGTGTGTGTGTGAGGGCAACCTCAGCTATCCTGCTACCGTAAGACATTTCATATGAACAGGGCAAATTTCACTCCTTTATTGTCTCACACAGACTCAAGGTTAACACTGGGATACATCCACCTGTTGTTTTAAGTTAGATATACTGCATATCATAATAATTCAAATTCATTTAGGAGTATTTATTTGTAATGTATTTGTACAAAAATATAAATTTTACCCAATACTTTGTTTCTATCACAACAGAATAAAAGCCAGAATTTTGATGTAAATCAGCTATTTGTTTTATCTTATTTTGGTAGAGAAGCCTCAGCTATGTTTAAGTGTTGCATTCTTTCACTATAGTCCCACAGTGGGAAGATGATAGGAGGGAGTTTCATGGTTTTCATAGAGGTAGCCATTATGCTGGCTTGAGTTAGATCCATTCCCAACCTTCTGTGATTATTTAAGGCTCTCAGTGTTATTTCAGGTGTGGCCAGTATGGCAGCTAGCTGCATGCCACTTCCTCATCTGCGCAAGTTTTCAGCATTTGTCGCAGTACATTACATTCAATTCATGACCTTCTTGGAATGCACAGAAAGGGATGAATACCAGACACCAGGCACAATACTGTGCCAACTAAAGTCAAACAGAGCAAGACACGTAGTAATCTGTTGAAAAGAGAAAAGTGGTTTTAAAACCAGCATTCCTCACAGTTAGGAGATTCATTTCATTCTACATTTTTTTGATATACTCATAAAAAACAAATATTAGAGGTTGGTGCTGGTTGTGTGCTTGACAGAGTTACCAAAACCTCAGCTCGGGGAGCCAAGTGACCTGAACGCATTAAGGATGCAACCGGCTCAGGAGGACGTTCTGACAATGTCTCACACGCTGGATAAGCTGCTTCTCAGGGACACAGTCCAGGTTGAGCTCATACCTGAGAAAAAGGGCCTGTTCCTCAAACATGTGGAGTACCAGGTCACCAGCCAGGCAAGGGATCCCATTATTCCCACTGCATGCAAATGACTGTGTTAGAATAACCTTAACAAACGGTGCAGTATTCTTCTTGTTTGTCTCACTTTGATGGCACTGGTGCAGAATAATTTCTTCTCACTTAACGTCTCATTTTCCAATTCACATTGGTGCCAGTGTTTTTTGTCGTGTAGATGTTTTCAGTCTCTACGAAGAAAAGTTCAGATTTACCTTCAGTTATTAGCCATGTAACCAACAGAAATTTTAATATTGAATGCTCTTAACCATTTTCTGATTATTTTCTTTCTCTGCTTTTTTTGCTTTCAGCGTTATAAAATATCAGTTTACCGGCGTTACAGTGATTTTGATGTCTTCCATGAGGTTTTGCTTCAGAGATTCGCCTACAGAGTCGTGCCGGCGCTGCCACCTAAGAGAATGTTAAAGGGAGGTACGTTACTCTGTCTGAACTCTGACATCTACACAGTTACTACTGTATTACTCTGTGTCTGCATTTCCTCCATCTTTCTTTCTGAGCCCATTATTGTTTCCTGAGCATTGTTGGATTTGGGTTTCTATGCTTTACTCAAAGATCAGCTGTAAATATCCAGGTGCTTCTGGTAACTGAGTGTTTTTTTTGTTTTGCTCATGTTTTTGCTTGATAAATAATGAATGTTATATTTTAATATAAGCTGTTATTCCCGCAGGCTATGTTGTTTCAAGCACAGTAATCGCTGTTCATCAAAGTTATTGCCTGAAAGAAATAAGGAAACTAGTGATGTGTAAAATGAGCTGGTTTCAGTTCACAATAAGTTATTGTAGCTTTGGAATGACAATTATGTCAACACACACACACACACACACACAAACACACATTAGAATCCTTGCAAAACACTTGATAAGACAATGTCTCAATTAGAGATTTTCATCAAGCACAAAATGTGTTCGAAAGAAACCTCACGTGTAAATATGCCAGTTGTGCCCTTTTCATCTCATCTTACTGATATGTGTAGCTCAAGATCTACTTCATTATTCATTTTTTCAGTAATCAGTGCAGAGGAAGTTTGAGGATTTGAGTAAGATTTTGAAAATGGCTAATTTACATGCGGTATGTTGAAGGAGCACTCCACTGATTTTAGCATTTCACCTCTATAACACTGTCAGACAAAATGTATTCAAATAGTTGCATCAGAGAGGACAAGAGAACAAGAAATACATATCTCTGTATTAATTCCATGCATTCTTATTTCTTGTCAAAACCCAATGCCTACATTACCCACAATGCAACATCATCCCCAATATTTAGGATGGAGATTCACTATCCTCAGGCAGAGAGGAAGAGCAGGCTACAGAGGCAACGTAACTTTAAACTCCACACCCCCAGAAAGTTTTCATTTTTAATCACGTAGCCTTCACCACCAACTAGCGCCGACTCAAGTGATATCACTCAAGGCAATTTATTTAATTTGCCCAGCTCCCTATAGAGCCACAAATGACTTTAAAGAACTTCTTTTCACATATGAAATAGCTCTCCTTTGGTATTTCTTTTTTTTTTTTTTTTTTCAATCAAAAACACACATTTTTCCTCTTGCCCATAGTGCTATTTATTAATCTGGATATTTTGCTGGGAGTTAACAAAGTGTTGTAGAGATGTCTACCTTCTCTCAAATATAATGGAGCTAGATGGCACTCGGCTTGTGGTGCTCAAAGTGCCAAAACTACATTTGAAAAACTCAACAGCCATGTCTCTTTACAGGAATCATGACCCAGTTACTCAAGATAATCTACTGACGTTGTTGGGAGCGGTTTTTTGTAGGAACTGTTTTCTCCCTACCATACTACACTCGACTCCTGTATCACTGTGCAGACGGAAGCATGCATCTACAGATTACTTTGTAGCTAACCGATACTGCTAGCTCACCAGGCACCACTGGTATAACTAATGAAACTAACTAACTAATGATGAACTGCCCCTTTAAAGGAATACTACATTATTTTGATTGACTTTAAATATAAAAGTCGCATTTGTATTTGCTAACCCTCTGTCCCTTTTTAAGTTTGTAGCCCCAACTCTCTCCACATTAACCCTTGTCATGTTTTCTCTGGTCTCTGTCCACAGTCCTCACCTCCGTCTCTGAGCGTGACTTCATTGAAGGGAGGAGACGTGCGCTTTGCAGATTCATTAACTTGGTGGCAAGGCACCCATTCTTCTCAGAGGACGAGTTGGTCAAGACCTTCCTCACCTTCAGTGGCTCAGTACGTTGTAGTTTTTGTAACTCGCTGCCTCCTGCTGTGTCACCGGCTGTTGCGCAATGAGCATTATCATCATGATGACAGTGAGATGCATCCTGTTCCACTTACTCAGTGTCTTTTTCCACTCACGCTCCCCAACCGTTCCTCCCTAACAGGATGTTCAGACTAAGCTGCGTGACGCTTACAAGAAAACGGGTGATGAGTTCATGACTAACAGAATCGCAACCCTGGCGAAGGTTTGTCACATATGTACGATGAAAAAAAACCTACTTTCTCCTAAACAATTACCGGCATTTAGAATTTCTTTGATTTGTTTTGTAGGAATATCTCCCCGCTGACATTCAAGCTCAGTTTTCGACAAGCAGAGAGCTGATTAGAAATATTCACAACAGCTTTCAGAAGCTGCGGGACAGAGCTGAGAAAATGGCGGAGCGCTCTAAGGAGAATGCAACTGATCTTCTCATGTTTGGCAGAGAGCTCAGGTATTTCATTATTATGGGTATAAAGTTAAAGTCTTTGTCTTGTATGCAGAGGTTTTGGGCTGAGAAAACAAATGTTAATAAGATTCCAAATCCTCTGTGTTGTTGGGTCTCTTCATGGTTGTTAGTTTGAAATGAGTTTGGCAGCTAAGACATCACAGTGTTGGGTTCTGGCTCTGTAATAACGCTGTTTTCGACAGTACGCTGGGCTCAGATGCTTCGTCTCTTCCCTCCTTGGCCTCCTCACAAAGCACCTGGGGGACCCTGCGTCAGTCTCTGAAGAGTCTGTCTGTGGAGTTCGCCGTGCTGTCTGACAAAGCTGCTCAGCAGGTATAGCCCTCAGTCCTTCATCCCCACCACCTGCTCTGCTGCGCTTGTCCAAAACTGGCACTGGGTAATAAATGTTGTTTTGCTTATGTCCTCAGGGCAGACGGGAAGAGGATGATGTTGTGGAAAAACTGAATCTTTTCCTGGATTTGCTGCAGTCGTACAGAGTGAGTTAGTTTCACTTTGCTCTGCTCATTTAACTTGAGTCCACCCCCAGGGACAGGTGATTTTGTTTTGATGTTTGCACATTTCACCTCCCAGTCCAATGATGCTCACTTTATGAAGCGGATTTTATCCATCAAGGCAGTAAAATCAATCTCTTGCTTTCTGATGGAGAGACACGACGAGGAGCTGTATATTTACAGTAAATCCATCTTCGGTTAGTAACTCAATTATGTAATGATTAATTTTAATAACAACGCACCCAACCAGTCTATCTCACTTAGCAATATAGCTCTTAGTAGTGGGTGGTTTGAGATTAAATAAGGGGACTGGTGGGCAGATAAAGCTGCATTTTCTATAGCCTCTACTAAATCTATTAACAGTAATATGTATGGTAATTTCAATTCATTATCATGTCAGCATTCTTCCATTGTCCTTGGCTGTTGTGTATTACTGTTAATTTTCTTATTACCATGTCACATTGAGGCACATAAGAAGAGCTGACAGTATTTTTTCCTCTAGGATCTCTGTGAGCGCCATGAGAAAGGCGTGCTCCACGAGCACCAGAGAGCTCTGCACAAGTACGGTATGATGAAGAGGCAGATGATGAGCGCCACAGTGCAGCCCAAAGAGCAGGCATCTGTGGAGCAGCTGGAGTCACGAATTGTTCAGGTGGTCAATCTCTTTCGGTTTCTCTCTTTACACATTTTTTACAATGCGTCCTGATTGACAGCAAACTGTTTTAGTTTAGTCATAAAAAAATGCTAAATTGGCCTGAGTTTATCTATCGCTAATACACTCCCCTGAAACGCAGCAAGGACAGATCTCATTACCCTTCATTAGCCAATCCTCAAATTCAGCACTCTACTTATGTATACAATACATTTTTAAACAACATCTCCTGCATGTAAGTAAAAGCGATGTGAGATATTTTTAAAGAGTTTGTACCAAAAGATTTTTATGCTATTTTATATTTTCGAGTTTTGAGAAATTGCATTGATTTATTCATTGAAGGGGACAGATACATTAACATAGCTTCATGAGTAAGAGCTTTAAATGAACCAAGTTCACGCACAGGCACAAAGAAGAGTCCCATTAGGTTCAGTACCAGTTAACAGCATTTGTCAACTTACTGGACACTGGTGTTTCCCTGTTAGTTCTCATCTTGTGACTGTAGTTCCTGTAGTGTGGTTTGTCTGTATTTAGCAAATGTGGTCATGAATTTCCAGAGTAGAAGTTGGCTGTTTTCTGACCTGTCAGTTTGGGCTTAGACGACTGTAACTGTCAGCTGACCCACCCTGTCATCAACTGTTACTCAGTTACTTAAGACTGAAAGTTCCCATGAAACCAAAGTAGCTTTTTTTATTGACACATGTTGCTGATTGTCACCTATATGCCAGCATCTGGCCCGGCAATGATAAACAAGTCATTTTGTTGGTATTTTTAATGGTATTTAGAGTTTGTCATTTCCTGGATACTAATTTTGCGTCCAACAAAACACTTTATCTACCATTGAGATGCATCAGCTTCATCGCAGGGATGAGCTGCATCTCTCCTTCACCAGCAGTGCTGCTGTCTTCAGATCTCGACTCAAACGACTTCATCATGGTCGCCTTCTTTCTCCATTTCATCCCTGTCCAATTCGTTGGGGAAATCCACAGGCTTAGGTGATGGTGGTGGCAAGAATTACTCTCCAACCGAGAGCAGGCTGGCCTCATTGCTGTTCACAGAGTTAAACTAGTAACTACGGTAAATCTGAAATGTTGGCGAGGGATCGTAACACACATTCAACAGTATTGGCTACAGTAAACGCAATCAGTAGGCTTGTCCACAGCAAGTCCTCCCTAGCGTTCTGTTTAATGCGTATATATGCGAAAGCACTTCCCTTTCCTTGAGGTGTTTAGTTTATCACATCAACAGACAGGGTGTTTGATATGCTATCAGAAATTAGCAGAAAAAGACAATTAGGATATTTACCACTCATCTCATGTCAATCACAGGCCCCTGAATTGATTCAAATAAAAATCAAAATCATATTGTATCATGGCAGACTTTGCAATATCAGCAAATATCATATCATTGTCCAAAGAATCTGTGTACCATATTGTGATGAAACTTGTGATTTACACCCCTAACACCAACCAGTGTTGGTGTCAGTAACTGATTAAGTCAGAAGGAGAGGATTAAGCAATAGTTCACTTGTGAATCAAATCTGGAGCCAATTAACAATGAAATGAAATGATTTATAACCATCTCCTTGCTTGAGCAGAGCTTTATCGTCCTCATCACATCTCAAGTATCGTTGGAGGAAAATTTCCACAATTTTTTTTTTTCTTACTGATTATCATTATCATTCGGTAAGTGATGACAACTTCCCAATTAATTTTATTTATTATTCTGTTAATAGCAAGAGAACGCCATTCAGACCATGGAGCTGCGTAACTACTTCTCCCTGTTCTGCCTTCATCAAGAGACACAGCTCATCTTCATCTACCTTCCAATCACATCCCACATTCTGGGGGCTTTCGTTAACTCCCAGGTCCAAGGACACAGAGAGGTGAGACCACTTGTGTGGAAATCATTTTTCCACAGACCCTTTAAGAAGGGTCAAATCAGTTTTAAATTGGCTTTTGAAGTCCAACGAAATAACTAATAATGATGGATGGTATCACTGGTGAGACGTTCTCTACTCATGCAGGATCTGAGGCGACTTACATTTCACACAGACGAGTGAATCTCCCATATGCCTTTGCCTGTTTGAAAATCAAATAAAGCACACTGTGTATATTTATTAAGTTATATGGCTCTTTTTGAACCTAGCCTTTTACACTTAAACTCCAATATAATTTCACGGCTACGTCCACATCACAGTGCTTAATGCTTAAATTTTTAGATCAGATCTTTCTTCCTCGACGATTCACATTCATGTTCAGAATGACCTGTAGTCTATCTGACATCAGCGTGAACGAATCTCTGCCCCGAAACGCCTCACATGCAACCAGTAATGTGACACACATCGAACAACAACAAAAAATATCACATTTGCAAAACAGGTATCTGGGGAAAAAAATGAGACATTTTATAGCTGCAGCCACATTCTGTTTGAAGCCTATATGTCATGCCCCTACAAGCCGCGCCCACCCTCAGTACAAGACAAACCCACTAACACGATGGTTATCTGAACTCAGCTAAAAAGCCACTTGTAGTGACTTAAACATGAGGCCAAACATAGCAATATCCCTCTTTATCCATTTACTGTATTAAGACATGATTTACCGAGATGTAAGCCTTACCCTACCCCAAAACCTAACCTTACCTGCCTCTCTTTTGACCCTCATAGCTAGTTAGCTAAATGCTAACTTAGCATTTTCCGCTGGGCCTCTGCTTCTGGACCAAGGAGTGCAGGGGCCTGATGGTGAACTAACAGTGGTTAAGTCATGTAGCTGGTTGGCGGTTTACATAGCTGCTCCAGCCACAGCTATACCTACTCAGGAAAAACTAATGACATAATTGTGCAAACATTCATCTCCCAAATGATTTTGCTGCAGAGGTCAGACGACAACTTGCCATATGTTGAGCTGTTCGGAAGGGGCTGTTTCTCCCACGGCACTTTCCCAAACAGAAGCACATGGCCAATTATGAGCCTATGCAGTATGACATCATCGACTGCCATTGTTTTTCGGGGTAATGTGACATTTTGGCATATTGAGGCTTCTGGATTAAGAGCTGTTGTTACAATAGCATAAGGGGAAATAGATGATGGAACGCAAAAGCTGTAGCTCAGTTAGCAGTTCTTACTGGTAGTTCTGTGGAGAGAGAGAGGTGTGGGTGTGGGAGGAGTCAAGATAAGTGGGACCACAGTGTGGACGGTTTCATGAAGGAACAGTTCCTCCAAACCTTAGGATGTCAAGAGCTACACTCCAATATCTCTGTCAGCGCCTCACAACAACGTTGTTCAAGCATGTTGGCAAGCTGTCCTCATCAGAAAGCATCTGGCAGTCAGGCTCTATTGACATGTGACTGGGCCAGCCTATCACAGTACAGCAACAGCAGCCTTCTATCGTTTCAACAGACAGCTTCACTATGTGCCTGCATAGTGAAGTATGACATGGAAGAACTATGAATGTATGGGAAAAACACACATGAATTCTGATATGAGCGCTCTCACAGCGGGCGCATGAGAGGATAGGTATCAGATTGAGGAAGACATACGAAGGGGCCCCAAATCTGATTGGAAAAAATTGGATTTCTGTGCCTACACTTACCTTATACACTTAGATGTCACATGAAAGCAAATAAAAAAAAGGGAATCTTCCTACATTTTCTTGTAATGTGAACATAGCTGTCAATGTTTCCTGAAAATGATTCCTGAAAGAAAGATTTTGATGCCGTTTGTTCTATTAGTATAATGAGCCTAAAGGAAATCTGTATGAAGAGAAGTGACCTTTTGCTTTCTTTCCAGATGGGAGCGGTGTGGAATGAACTCCAGCCAAAGCTGGGATGTCTCTTTGGCGGCAATAACGGGTTGAAGCCCCCCATCTGAAGCCTGAATACTGGAGGTGCAGGAGAGAAACACAGCCACTGATGAAGATCATAAACTGGAAAATAACTTGCTCTGTGAGCTAAAGAAAAATGTAGATTACACAACTTTTTTTCTTCCTTCTACAAAGTCTTCTATCACACCATATAGACTCATTCAATAAGAGGATTTTTTTTATGTAAATGAGTTCTCAACTTATCGACTTATTTCAGGGTTTGATCATCAACCATGTAACTGGAAAAGACAGTGTGCTCATAAATGTGTCATTTTATGCTCTGCTTGATGAGGAAATAATGTAGGACGGAAAATCCTCTAAATGTTATTTTACAAGGGACCACTCAGCGTGTCAGACATTCAGCACAACATATTCATGCATTCCAACTCATTTCCTACAGCACCTGTTCATAACTTAACCTTGTGACAAGTTTTATACACTAAGAATATGGAGAAAAATTGAGAGGGACAGAGAGTTTGACTTTATTAAAGGATGGGATTATTTTAAATCTCCAGTCATGAAGGTTTTACTTACTGAATAACTTTAGACCAATGTATTTTTGATACAGATTTTAGTTCATAAGGATGTGTAGCAGCATACTTTATATTTTTATGGACAATTGTGCTATTTCTCGTGTTTACTTTTATATAGAGAAACATATTTGCCTTCTCTGCTTAAATTGACTCCCAGTTTTTTTATAAGCTATTTTGGAAGGCCTACACTCAAAGTGTCTAATACTACAAAGGGCAGAGATTTGAGATTTACAGATTAAAAATGGCACTAGTGGCATAATAATGTCGATAATAACACTATAAGCTATTGATTTACTACCAAAGATAAATGATATACATTAATTAAAATAAAATAAATGCAATAAATGTGCAGTGAATCATATAACAGGATTCCTACACAATTAAAATTTAATAATCGCTTGTATTACTTTAATTTTACTGGAAGGTTTTTGGCTGGATCACTTTACAGATGGAGGCAGTTAAAGTAATCCTCATTAAAATTTGTGTAATGATGGGCCTCATGCAGCAACATTTTCTTAAATTTCTCTGATATTTTCTTTTAATTTTCTATTAAAAATAAGAGAAATTAACTCCAGGTGCACCAAACATTCTTTACCATCCAGATCTGCTCTTACCCAGGTGTGCTGCTGAATGATGAATCCCACTTGATCATAGCAAAGCTAACGCCCCTCTAAACACTATATAAGGGCAGGTGTTGTGCCATGTGTAAATACTCAATGCCCAAGAACTGGAGATGTGCCACCAAAAAAAAGGCCGTAAGAGTGGTAGAGGTAGTAAATCGATGTACTGTCAGATAAACGTACACAAATTTAATATGATTTTCCAGAGCATTTGATTGCTGTTACAAGACAGTTGAAAAACCAGCAATGCCAAAAAAGTTGTGATGCTGTAAATGATGTGTCAGCAGAGGGATGCACAGAAACTGAAATGAAAGAAAATGGTTTAATATGAAATGGAAGCAATTTTTATGTCCCTCAAATCCCTCAAAACTTTTGTTTCCTTGCTGACAAATAATTTGTGGACTGTGAAAACAAGGTGTTTTTTCTTATCTTGGTAGAAGCAAATTTCCACTTGTGAAATTTTCTCATCTTGCGTACACAGACCTATTTCCCGGGGCCTAGAGAAAATTTTGGAAGCACCCTTTATTATTCTGGTATAGAGGGGAAAAAAGCGCTCTGGGTTGTATTTCTTAAAACCAATCAGTCATCTTGGGTGCTGCTAAGCCGAGGATGCAGCGACTATGCACCTGCAAAATGGTCACACGCAGACAGTGGAAGTGGAGGAGAATGCAGGCTGAAATAGGCAGCCAATGTCAGGTGTATACCCACAGTCTGCATCTGGTGAGTCAGAATAAATATTATTTTACCTCAGAGAAGAGAAAAAATAAGACAACATTGGTGAATCACAGAAATCAGTGGGTACAAACAAAATAAGAACAAACTGAATATAAACAAAAATAAGCAGACATTTAATATATCGCGTCTGCATGAGGCCCAGTGTGTATCAGGGCAAACAAGCCATTTCATCTTTTTCATACACTATTAGACTTTCTATTTTTCAGATATTTGGCATGAAAACAACTATGCATATTAGTGTCTATACACATACAGTTTATCTTGTATTTTATAAAACATAAAGTCAAAGGGACAATTTGCCATATACGCTCTCATGTTACCTCACAAACTGTCACCAACTAACACCATCTAACACACCGAAATGACTGTGTTGAAATGAGCAATGCCAACATGCAAATCAGGATATGTGCACATATTTCAACTTTTATTCTATGAAGAAACTGTAATACTGTACATACAGTATGAAATATTTGTTTTGGCAAGAAAAATGCATCAGGAATCAAGTTATCTAACTTGCACAGAATATGAAATCCAATAAAATTGTCACTGTAGATATTGTAAATATTTTATCAAAGGAATTCTTGCTGAACTGTGTTAAATCAGTTATCCTGAAAAATAAAATAACAATGGATATTTCTGTCAGTAAATGGCTTTATTTTATTCATTTTTAAATGATGTAAGGTGTGACTGAAAAAAATATCTTCCGCTGGCTATATTTCTAAAGAAAACACGTAAAAAAAAGAAAAGAAGAAGCTACAGTCATTTTACATGTAAACACACGTACAGTTAACATGGTTCTTGGAATCTTGCCGTTTCCTCCCACAAGTGAAACTGAACAACAAACGCTGAACCGTGTGACAGCTTTAAAATTTAAAGAGGAACTTTGGAAGATTGATGGTTTTTTGTTGCAGTAAAAAAATGTCCCCAAAAAATGCAGGTCATCTCACAGTTGCTCCACTTCCTCCAGTTTGTGGCTGAGGATCACATCGTGACCCTGAAATTTAAAGTATCCCACAAATTTCTTCTTCTGGAGCATCAGTGGGAACCATAGGATGTCATCGGCCCACATTTGACTGAAAGGAATTTTGTCACATTCGAACCACTGAGGCCGCATCTCTAGAAAACAATAAGGAAAATAATAAGTAGACCACCTAAGAATTAAACAACTTTTTATCATCTGCCTTACCATACTACTGCCAACTAATGCTCCCATACACTAAAGGACTCTGAAAAGACTTTTAAGACTAAAGTCTGACACCACCTCACATCTTAGGACAACAGGAGTTTCTGGTCGCACACTATAAGGTTTTGCAAAGACAAGGGATCTTGCAGGGTCATGATTTGCAAGATTACAACTAAATTCCTTTTGGCAGAAAATATTACACCAAACTCCCTTTAAAAAATATTAACAATGTTTTATGTGTCTGTAAAAACACATAGCTCTAGAAACACTAGATGAAAGGCGTCATATGTTGAAAGTATTCTCCTCAGTTCTGCATCAATATAATCAATAAAGACAAACCGTATTTGTGTACAAATTTTACATTTTGGATGTTGTCACCTTAACTCACTACCAGCCTCTGTTGGTTAACTGCTCTATTTTAGTGGGAGGACACCGTGGAAATGAAGTGTGAACCTTTTAATAAATTAGGATTTCTCACTAAAATAATAACTGGTTGGTGGATCAGATATGCCTCAAATTAAACACTGTTCACTCCACAGCTCCACCAGTCTCTCCTCCTTTTCCACAGTCCAAAAGAACAGTCACTTTTCCACTAGACTCACAAGTCAGTCTTTAAACGCTTTGCTTAACTAAAGACTGATGACTTTCTCCCTGATTTTGTGTTTAGATGGGCAGATACAATTTCAGAGTTTAAAAAAACTCCCTACGTTGCAGAACCAATAGTAAATCTGCAGGGTGGTCCTTTGGTGGCTCGCTGAACTCTTGTGCTTGTAAACATAGTCCGACTAGAAACACGTGTAGCGGTACAAAATGGCTCAAGTTGCTGTAAGTCCTTCATTTCCACAATCTTGTGGACTGAGCACACGTTTGATAAAACAGAGTTAAATCTCTTGGCATCCATTTTCAAGCTCTGTGTGTGTTTGTTTCCTTGCGGACGAGAAAAGGGGGAGCGCACATTTCCGGGAGGGCGTGTCCTTTTAAAAAATACAAGAGGCGTTGCTTTGTTGCAGGCCGTTTTAACCAGTGTGTTAAACAAACTTTAGAAAGGAGTGTCCCCAGACTATCAGAAGCCGGAGATCTCTGATTGTCTGGTGGCGAGACTACTTTTCCACACTCTTGCCCCTCCGGAGTCCCCTCCATGTCTACTGTCTACCTGGTTGGCTGCTTTCTCTTTGGTGCTGGAGAGAATGCAGCTATTGGTTGTTAAAAATGTTCACATCACTGAACTTCACTGTCTGCATGAGACTAAAAACTCATAGTAATATTAACCAAGTTTGATTAAATGGAAAAAGACTGACTTAATACAGCTTGGACTGAGTTTGGTGTCCACCTCACACTGGGCAAACGATAGAGATCACGGGAGCGCACAGCGACTGAGGTAAAACTTGGATGATTTAGTCTGACATTGGAAATTTGTCTGTGATAGTAAATGCTTTACTGAGAATAAGGACTGTCGATGATCTCTTATATTGGACTTGCACTAAGAAGAGATTTCTACATAGCTATTAAAAAGAATAACTCTTACCAATTACCAACTCTTTTACTGTACAGCACATGTGAGTAAGAGACAGCATAAATGTGAACCTACCCTCTGAGTGTCAGCGTCAGCAATAAGATACAGGAAAGTGAATAAACAAACCGTAAGATTTAAAATGGTGGACATTTTTAAAATATGGAATTTTAGGGGGAAATTTAGTCTCTGTTTGAAAACAAAAGGAAGAAATTTGGCATTGATTTCCCATAACTGAAAAAAAAAAAGAAAAAAGATCACACTTCCCACTGGGGCTTGGCTTCCCCTGTAACTGCACTTTGTAACAAACTATGTCACTAACTTTTGCCACCCTGCCCTGTGGACGAAGTACAAAGTTTAATTTATTAAACATTACCACTTTCTCAAACTGCTTCTGAAACTCAACAAAGTCAAACTATTCCCCGAGTCTCAGCTGTTGCTTCATATCTTGTCGAATCAGTGTTACCAGCTCTACATTCTGTCTTTTCACCAACTTCAGCACATTTCATTTAAGCTTTTTCCTCCATTTATCTCCTCACCCCTTGGCTGTTTGGCTTCTCTTGACCTCCAGACTCTTTGGCTGAGTGCTGCACTTTGCTGTGTGCCTCTAATATTCACCCAGTTGACCTTGGCTAAACTCTCAGGAAATACAGATCACTGCAGGTCTCTGCATTCCTCCTGTTGAGGGCCTCTTCTTTCCTTTGTGTATTTACAGCCCTTTAAACTTTACCACTGAGAGTGCACTTAAAGATTCTTCCTCTTAACTAATGTGCTCACCCTGCTCACAGTCATGTCTGTGGGAGAAGTTGCCAGAAAAGTGTTTCAATCAACTCAGAAGGGTCATTGTGGTCTATCCGGTTTTAAAGCAGAACTGAAAACTGTTTTGACTCCCAAAGGGTCTCATACCCAAACTTTAAGGACAATACAGAACAATAATTGCCATGAAGCCTGGACTGGCAATGAGATAACATAAAAGGAAGTCGAGATTAAGAGGAACTAAAAGTAAAAAGGGATTTTTTGCAGGATTACATTTTGGTTACTTGGAATTATGTACAACAATAATGTGAAGTTCCTCTCCACAAAGGGCATGAATATTTTTACCATGGCGATAAGTGACACTTCATTTTGTAAGTAACTGTTTAAAAACCTATTTTGAGACTATAGCTTTCACTATGATTATTATATTCCTATAAGCACAAAACCCTGAAAAAATTATGCTGACTCATACCTTCTGACTCTGTTGGTTCTCCATTATAATCGTCGGCTCGGAAAACATGGACGTCGAGCAGCTGCGTTTCTCCAACAAATTCAAATTTGATGTTTCCAATCTTCTCCAGAGCGTCCACTGTGAGCCCGCTTTCTTCTTCCAGCTCTCTAAAAATGACAACATCAAATAAATATTTAATAATGTGTATTTATTTTTTAAAATAAACTAGTGGTACACTTCACACACAGGATCTAAAAGCAAGTAGAGTGATGATATCAGTGTTTCCCAGTGGAGGATCTGTTTGCGTACCCACGCTAAAAGACACAAAGTTATCTTTGGGATGTGGTTGAGAGCTCTTAAAAAATCCAGTAAGTGGATGTCTTTAGTTTGCAAGATTTTTTTGGGATATTGTTAATGTTTTTCCTTATAAATTTCAAACAAAATATGTCAAAATAAAACTGCAGGTTGATTTTTAACATGTGCCACCATGGTGCATTCAAGAACCATTATTTGCTGATGACTGTGAATTGGGTTTCCCCACTCAACACTACTTCCCTCAAAGTTTACAGAACCACCAAACATGCTGTTTACTCTTAAAGTGTGGGGATTTGAAGTCCTGCTCTGATACAGTATCTGCCATGTTAAGTACTTGTTTCTTTATTATTATCTCCCTGAGCAACACTTTAGGTTCAGTGGAGTACATGTACATCAATGGATTCTCTGGATATATATACATATATAGTATATAGGCCTGGGAGTTTGAGGGTTCTGCACAGTATCTTATCTGTTCCTAGGACTGCACTCTTCTGGACAAAGACCTCAGATGTTGTCCCTGGAATCTGCTGGAGCCACTCTCCCAGTTTGTGGGTCACAGCCCCCAGTGCTCTAGTGCCTCTTTCAGTCCTTAATATTTTTCGAGCTTCTCGTGTTCCTTCTTCCTGATGTTGTTGTCACACAGGACATCTATCACCACTGCCTTCTTCTGTTGTTTGTCCATCAACACGATGTCCAGTTGGTTAGCCATCACCAGTTTGTCAGTCTGGATCTGGAAGTCCCACAGGATCTTAGCTTGGTCATTTTCAGCCACCTCAGGAGGTGTCTTCCATTGTAACCTTGGGACTTCCAGCCAATACTCAGTGCAGATACTATGCTAGCCACTTGGTTATGGCGTCCCATGTGCGCTCCTCCTGTCTGCATCTGACACTGTGCTGCTATTGTGTGCTGAACTGTCTCAGGAGCATCTTTGCAAAGCCTGCACCTGGGATCCTGTCTGGTGTGGTAGACCCCTGCTTCTATTGATCTCGTATTAAGTGCCTGTTCTTGTGCTGCCATGATCGGTGATTCTGAGCTGTCTTTCAGTCCAGCCTTTGGTACAATTTCTTGATGTCAGCTACTTCTTTAATCTATCGGTGGTACATGCCGTGCAGGGGCTTGTCCTTCCATGATGGTTCATCCCTCTCCTCTGCTGCCTGAGGTATTCACTTAGCAGCCAATCTTTTGGGGCCATCTTTTTTATGTATTCCTGGATCTTGGTTGTTTCGTCCTGGATAGTGGCTCTGATGCTCTCCAGTCCTCAGCCCCCCTCGTTCCACTTAGTGTCAAGTCTCAGGGTGCTGGACTTGGGATGAAACCCTCCATGCATCATAAGAAGCCTCCTTGTGTAGGTATTTGGCTGTAGCTGACTTCCTTGCGGCCTCCTTATGGTATCAATTTGCCTGCCTCTCCATATATACATAGCCACATATTCTACCTAACACTTTTTTCTTTTTGCTATGGTATCGTAGCATTGTGTAAAGTTTTTTTCATACCAGTATTATCGTTCCCAGCACAGAGTACTTTTAACTGACACAAAGAACTAGGATTTGTCACGTGCTTCCTCCAGTATTGATTAGATTCCCTGAATGCGTTTGCTTAAAAGCGTAACTAAAATAGCTTTGAGATATTACTAATTTATTAAGCCTCCGAGTATTCTTCACACAAAGCAGGACTCTTTGTCTTATTTGAGAGAAAACAGCTTGGGTTGGAGCCTGAGTGCCTTCAAGGTTTCCTTCCTTTACTCTGGAACAAACTTCCTGCTGATGACTGATGAGCCAAACATTGTCCAGACTCACCACTCATTTATTCCCCTACTCATTCACCTGCTCTGACACCAAACATACACACATTGATTGATTATAAATGCAAAAACACAGCTTCATACCTCCTGTTGTGTTGTTTTTATTAATGCATGTTGGATGTGTTATTATATGTGATGTAATGATATGCACCTTTTTTTGTTGTTACAGCTTTTACAGCTTGTTTTTATTCAGGCTTTATCAGAACTATTTTGGATATTAATCCTTTCTACTGTGTGTTTAAGTGTCTCAGCATTTCAGGCTCGTGAACACAACTTGAGAGATGAATTTACCTCCTTGCAGCATTTTCAATGGTCTCTCCAGGCTGAACCTTGCCCCCAAATCCGTTCCACTTCCCAGCCCCAAATCCTCTCTTCTTCATGCCGAGCAACACCCTGCCCGGCTGCACCACCAGCACCAGGGTCAGCAGCTTGGGGGTCAACATCTCACCTGTCTGAGAGGAAGTGAGGAAGTCAACGACACAAACACACCGTATACACCACCTGGAGCAACATTAGCAGCGGTTCTGTACTGTATGAGCTCCGTCAGCTCTGCGTTAACATCATCACCTGCTCAGTTTCTGCTCTGTGAGCCGATAAAACGACAGAAGAAGTACTGTATAAAAACAAGACTCCACGTTGAATGACTCCCGCGTGCAGCAGCGCGACAAACGACGTCACATGATGCGCTGATGTGTAGGAGCACGGACTGGGTTCATCAGTGTCAGACTAGATCTACCGGTCCCACCATTAAATTGAAAGATCAGTTCAGTGTGTAACCTTGAAATATGTTCGACTAGAAACAACCAACGTGCTCCCAGAAAATTAAAGATGTAGGCTATTTTACTTGACGTGTCCTTATACAGTGTGTGCGTGTCCTCCACTCAAACTACTCACATAAACTCTCTTTACACACCTGTTGATTTAAAATAATCCACAATTTGATTGAAAATGTGAAAGCATCAGTATATAGATATAATGTGTCAATATATTATGATTTAAAATTGCATGCTGCTGCACAACATACCAACCTTAGATTACATATTTACTTTACCACTACTACTACTACTACTAATAATAATAATAACAATAATAATAATGATAATGATGATGATGATGGTGATGATGATAATAATAATAATAATAATAATAATATATTTTTAAACTTAAATATAACATTTTTCAAATGGTTTACAGATAGCTTAATGGTATAAAACGTAATAAAACAAAGATAAAACAAGCTATGATACTGTAAGATACAGTTAGGTAAGACTTTATTGCTTTCCAGAGAAATTCCCATGTTACAACAGCACAATAAACAGTCTAAAGATGTGAGTAAACTGACAAACAACTATTATAAGGCAGCAATACGTGCAACTCCTGAGTCCAAGACAAATCTCACCACGGGGACAATAATGTATAGCCTATCATATCATACAGTACGGTACGGTACCGTATTGTATCACATCGTATCCTATCATATATATTTCATAGACAGATAGATGAAAAGGTATAAATGCATGACCAGAAAACTTTGGAAAGGAACAATAAAATACACAAACTAGGCTACATATGATGTGTTTCTGTGAAGTCTGGACTATTAAGACAGCAATACTTTTGCAGCTCCTGAGTCCAAGACAAATTTCCCATACAGGGACAATAAAGTCTATTGTATCATATTGTATTGTATCATATTGTACAGTATCCTATTGCATCGTATCGTATATATATTTCATAGATAGATAGATAAAAATGTATAAATATGTGACTTGAAAAGGTTTGAAATGAACAAAAAAATACATTAAAAAATACATTAACTGTTTCTTCAAAGTCTGGGGCCCCCAGTGGAAAATAATATTATTACAGCAGTGTTGATGGGGTGTGGTGAATGCATAAAAAATGATTTTCATATTTAAAAAGTTTAAATGTTTGAGATATTGAGCTGAAAGACACGAGACTATCCCATGTAGGAACTGTTGTCAGTGTTTTGCTGTGAGGGGACATATATACGTGTGACGCACAGTGTTTGCCTCTGACCAATAGCGAGTTGTATTCCCACGCAGGCGCAGTTCACACACGCTACACATGACATGACCCTCTGCATTGAAAACAATGTGGTGCTTCTCCCAACAGAGGAGGTTTCTCCACTCCTCCTTATGTCTAATGAAGAAGTTAAAAGGAAAGACTGCGGCCGAGCAGCGCTGGCTCCAGAGGCAGCTCAAAGACCCGTATGTTAAAGCTTCTCACGCCCAAAACTTCCGGTGCAGAAGCGCCTTCAAGCTGCTGGAGATAGATGACAAGTTCAGGCTGTTAAAGCCTGGATACAGTGTGGTGGACTGTGGAGCTGCACCTGGAGCCTGGAGCCAGGTGGCGGTACAGAGGGTCAACTCAGCCGGGACAGGTGAGACACATAGGAGGGGACACCTACTGATAACAGGGACACCAGGCAGTAGGCTATGATTCAGTATTGTTGAGGCTGTGTCAGAGAAGTACTGAAGACCTTGGCTGTCCTCCTTAAAATATTACTGAAGTTTATTGGAGAAGTTGTTCTAAATTATCATCTCTTGGAGAACGAGCTCTGTTTATTAGTCAGTCCTGGGAAATGCCAAAACTCATCCAAAAATTATTAGAAATATTCTTCTGGCTGCAGTCATCTATGGAGTAGAATAAATAACACTGCAGGAACTATTCAACAGATTTTTCAAGATAATCAAGTTTTACAAAAATAGGAGTTTTTTGTTTACAACATTTGCATATGAACAATTATATTATTGACTCAGTACCTCTCTTTACATTTTTTTCATTTTTTAAATATTTGGTATGACTTTTTATTGTATCATTCAATGTCTGCCCATCGCTTTTGTAATTATGTAATACATATACTGTGTATGTCAGAGTTTATGGGGAGTTAGGGAACAATAATACCATCACAGTTGAAAGGCTGGAGTTGCAATTAACTATAAACGATGGACAGTTTATAAAAGTGTTAACAATTTTTATTGTGTCGTCATAAGTAATTAAGTTTGATGAGTTCCAGTCATTATGAAACATCCCTGCAGTTGAAAGTTTGGATAGCCTCTAAAATTTACACCAATGGAGAGAAAAAGTCAGAGAGCCACATCAATGTTCTGTAATTATCAGGTTTTTTTTTTAACAGACTGTTAAGTATGCTTATGTAGTAGATGTCACTGCTGATGTCAAGTGTTTTTGAATGTTTTAGTGATTAGTTTTATTTTTTCCACCTGGCAGTCAGCCTCTGCCTTCCATTTACTTTATTAAAAATCAACAGTGCATCATGTCTGTTTTTATTCTGGCCAGAGTTTTACTTTTGTCACTTGTATGTGCATGTTGTTTTGTAAAGTATGCACTACATTATCATGCAGAAAATAAACAAGCAGAGGAGATGTTACATGTGATGGATAACCAATATCAGGACCTCGTTAAGTCTATGCAAGTTCATTTTATTCTAACTAATGGGAACTAGTGACTCATCAGAGGATAGGATGTTTACATAAAAAAAGTAAGCATTTTGGTTAGCAGACATATACCTAACAGTAGTGTGGTAATTTATATATTAACTTAAAGGGATAGTTTTGATTTTTTTAGGTGAGGTTGTATGAGATACTTTCCCACAGAATGCGCAGGTGTGGACTCTTCCAGCAGCCTCTCTGTCAGCTCTGCTACATTTATGCTATATTTAGGTTCTTGTGTCTACTTTGCAAGTGTTAGTGGTGCTTGTGGTCCTGTTAGACAGTGGTGGAATGTGGCTGCAAGTTCCTCATCAGGATGAGGAAATCAAGGCACCAGTCTGTAAACTCTCCCTCTGCCGACTTCTAGCTAATTAGCTGCTAGCTAGCCAGGTCAAGGTTTCCAAATGTAGACTTCAGTAAACATCGAGGAAAAGATGGAGAATAATGGACACCAGCTGAACCAGCCGCCTGCTAGCCATTGTACAGGTACTGGAAAATAAACTGGACAACCTCCTGGCTGCATTAGTTTCCACTGGGATATCAGGAACTATGATATCCTTTGATTGATCACAACTGACTAAATCCTGCACAGCGCTATTCAACCAGGAGGCTCTTTTTTCCTTATGGTGATCTGGCAAAGCAGAGGACTCTGGTGAGAGAAGGAGAGGAGGTCTGTGCTCTATGGTGACTAAGGACTGATGTGATGGTGGAGATGAGAGGTGTTGTCCTCGTCCTGCTGTGGATAACTGCTAACCTCCACAGAGCAGCAGCGCAGCACTGCCATGTTCAGGAGGAGCAACCATGCAGCCAGATGCACAGACAGTTAAATCATTCCACAACCAGAAACCATAGATCAACAGAACCATCTGGAAACATGGACAGTTATAAAGCAGCAGCCAACAATGTAAGAAGATGCAAAAAGGATTAAATTACAGTGCACAAGTTAAATGAGCTGATGGGTTCACATTTCACTGGAGTTGTACTTTGTGTAATTCCATGTGACAAATGAATGGTTGGTTGATCGATTGACAGGATGTGAATTACCAGCCCGTTCTTATTCCGAACTTGTAAAATACCGCCGCTTTGTCAGTGATCAGGCGTTAGATACTGATGCACAAAGGCACATTTTGTGGCGGTAATATGCACCAGGCAGCAACAGCTGTTGATGCAGGGGTCACCATCTAAATTCATCATATACCTGTCCTATGTCAGTGGACGTCCGCATAAGATACTGATGCACAAGAAAACCTTTCATGGCGTTATGAAACACACCGTGGTAACAAAGTAATAAATCAAGCTGGAAAGTGCCTATAGGGCAGGTGGGAGGGGAGGTGGATGGGTCCAACAAACCCTGGACTTTCACCCGGGACCCCGCTGTTTGCTTCCTGTTTGAATGTTTAGCCAAACCATGATGTTTTTTTCTAAACCTAACCACCTGCTTTTGTTGCATAAGGAAATAAAACATAAAAAAAAATCCAAAGTGTTAGTTAGTTATGTTGTAAATTTATTAAAAAAAAAAAAGACTGTATGCATCTAATGAGCAGAAACGGTACATTTCCTGTGAAGATGTAAGTGTGACAAACTTAAATTGACACGTGCTCCTGGAACATCAGCAACAGATGCAGGAGGATACCTAGCATGTCATATGCAGACGTGAAAGTCCACAGACAAAGTGATATTTGAAGGGTTGGGATGAGAACACATTGATAGATGTCGGTCAGTATGCCTCCACTTTGGAGAAGCAGGCAGGAACACTGTCACAGAAGCTAAGCAAAGTACTGCTGTGGAGGGGGGCGGCAGCAAAATGTAATTTAGACACAAAAAAAAGGCCCATCTAAAAAAAAAACTTGTCTAAGTGCATGCTTTACTTGTTTTTACTACTTTACCTTTGTAAAAACAGCCCTTTCTGGCAAGGAACTAAAGCTGTTATATCGCTCTCTTTAAAGCTACGAGACTCCACTGACAAAAGCAGTAATTTTACCTTGCTGAACACAGGAGCTGCTGGTCTACCACTGCCTTGATCTGTAATTTGTTTATGGTATGGTGTGACTATGGTGAATCAAAACTGACTCTTCAATACACCAAAGTCACCTGATAACTAAAACAAACTAACTTATTAAAGGCAGTGCTGGAGAAGCAGCTCCTGTGTTAAAAATTACTGTTTTGTAAATGGACTCTGGCTTTGAAGAGAGCATAGATAAGTTTTAGTTTCAGTTCAGTTCCCTGTCTGAAAGAGCTGACTATGGATAAGCACTGCATACAACTTCACTTCAAAACAGCTGAACTGTCCCTTTAATATTGAACAATAGATTAAAGAGCACATAAAAGAGCTTTAAGGTCTTAAGGTTGTTGAACAAATCACCACTAATGGAATCATTCAGCCCATTAACAGTGTTCAAGGTTAGCTGTTAGTGTCATCAGTAAACTCTGAATTCAACCAATGACTACTTTCCTTTAGTGCTGAAATTACAGCTTTAAAAATGAGTAATATCTGTCACTGAAAAGTATAGCATAGGCTATTTTAATGCATTTATTTTAAAACAGGGAACAGGAAAAGAGGTTAACTGCTGACAGATCACTCAGGATGTGACTTCACTGCATTTCTGCTATAATTAGTTCTTATTTGTGTGGTAATAGCTACAGTTCATCACCTGTTGGTTTGTGTTATATAACCACATTGCTGTGTCAGCCCACGATACATCAAATATGATGCGAGTAACAAATAATACCTCCTTGTAAATTACATTTGAAATGTTTTCATGCATCCTAGATCCAGAGTCACTTCATGGTACAGTTGTTGGCATCGATCTGCTGAACATACCACCTCTGGACGGTGCCCACTTCCTGTCCAGTCATGATGTCACCGACCCGGTCACACACGCCAAGCTGCGGGACCTGCTCCCGAACGGCCAGGCTCACGTCATCCTGAGCGACATGGCACCCAATGCCAGCGGTTTCCGAGAGATGGACCACGAGAAACTTATCACAATGTGTCTGTCTTTGATAGACTTGGCTGAGAGGATTTTACAGCCAGGGGGCTCTCTGGTTTGCAAATACTGGGACGGGATCCTTGCTCATAAACTCCAGGAGAAACTCTCGAGTGTGTTCAAGAGTGTTCAGACTTTAAAGCCAAATGCCAGCAGGAAGGATTCAGCTGAGAGATATTTCCTCGCTAGAATGTACAGAAAACCAGTACAATTATCATAGCTGTCTTCAAGTTGTCCTATGTGTATCCTAAAATTAACAATTTTTCCAATTTAGATGTTCTATGGAAGTTCACAGATTGTGTTTTTGAAGATTAAACATGAAGAGGAGGCTTACTCAGTAGCTCTGATCAAAAGGTGGCACTGTTGAGACATCAGTGAGGCTCACAGCTGCAGGCGTTGACACATTACATACTGCCGGTGCTGATTTTTATCCCTGCAAACTTAACACAGTAGCAGCAGTGAATCAGTAATATGTAAACCTATGCAAGAATCATCAGTGTGATATTCCTCAAGAGCCCGATGCTGTGTTTTCTCTGAAGTTATTGTTTGCCCCACAGTGTTTGTTCTACACAGTCAGCTTGGTATTTGCTTTGTTACAGAAAATCATTTACCAGTGCTGCTTATGCTAATAATTTTCACTGCCAGCCATGTAGAAATATGTAATCATTCTCTCATTGAGAGCTTATGAAGGGACAACCTAATACAGAGTCACATACAGCATGACTAATGGGAAGTGGAAGTTGTCGGGCTCTGCTCTCTGACAGTGCAGAGATGTCCATTTCCTGTGAAAATATTTTCAGCCCAGTAGACAGATTTTCTTTCAAGATTCTTTAAATCGCAGTGTTGGACGCTTTGAAAAGTACTATTTATTGTTGTTTCTGTGCTTTTTTGTACTGATTTGATTTTTGTCTGACCAGAGCTCTGAATCACTGGTAATGAAATAAAAGGATATTTCTACTAAAGCTGCTTTAAAACGACATAACTTACATATTTGATGTTACAGAGATCTATGTAGGGGTTCACAGTATAGACCTGTCAGCTGTACCACCAGCGTAGCAAAAAAATCTTGGCTGCATGCTCATACCGTCTGAGTGGCCCCCCCCTTCCCATTTTATGCCAACAGTAGAAAGATGACAGGACATGCCCCTCAATGTACAAATAACTGAAGAACAGTTCACCCTCAATATAAAAAAACATATTTCTTCTCTTACCTGTGCTTTTTATTAGTCTAAATCAGTGGTTCCCCACTGATCCAGCCACGGGGTCCAGATTTCTCCTTAGTCGTTAGTTCAAGTTCCACATAGTTTCATATTTTCATTGTTATTCTTGATTTTATGCCATGTCGTCGAGCTAGTTTGCTGTCTCTGACAAGTGTCTGTCCGTTAGTCAGTCACTCTACAGCAGGAAATGGCACTTTCAAATAGGCTACATGCTCTATGCTGGAAAATCACTGTACTTCAAAATTAAAGGGACATTGTATAGCATTTTCAGTTGTTTATTGGCAAAAATTGATGTCTGCATTCATAAATGTCATCTTTGGTGTATTATTACCTCCACCAATAATCTGACTTATTCTTGTAAAAGGAGAATTTTTCGGATTTGTTTGTACATTGGGCGGGTAAGTCACTGTGTGACTGAGAAGTCGAAGGAGAAGAGCAAGAGGCACTTCGCTACTACCCTAGCAAATTTGAAAGCCTGCACTACTGCAGCATAACAAAGTCCCACTCTTTGAGCATAATGCAGGGTCATGCATATGCAGCATCACGGGAGACGGAATCCTCGTCACCAAGAAAGCACAAAAGGGAATCAAAAAGGCAACGTGACCGGCAAATTCAAAAAATGAGGGTCAACATTGGGGAAGCCTTTCCCAGGTGGAAAGAGCTACTGAAGGAGAAAGGTAATGCAATCACAGGCCAGCGCCGCTGTCAGTGGCGCAGTGATGCAAGGGGAGGGATGAGGTGTGTGAGGTTGAGCCACTTGCCAGTTGTCAAAAGGCAAGACGTGATTGGTTTGTTTCAATTTACACCCGCCCCAACAGTCCTATGTTGTAAACACAGCCAGCATGGTGAGGAGGGGGTTTGTCAACTCGTGTCGCGTGTGTCTGTGTAGGAGCCTGAATGAATAATCCATGAAGTGGTTTCATTGTGGCAATACGCGTTTGAAACAGTGAGGCGCTAGAGTGCGCTATCCGTTTGAATGCAATATATGATTTCAATATTAGATGGGAGAGAGTCCTACACACTCTGGCTTTAAGTGTATTTTTAATCAATTTGACATGCTTACAAGTCACTTGTGGTCCATTCAGAATGGGCATGTGAACCACTTTTGGACCGCATTTCACCAGTGGGGAACCGCTGGTCTAAATTGTTTTGGTTTGAGTTGCAGAGTGCTGGAGACATCAGCTGTAAAGATGTCTGCACTCTCTCGAATATAATGGAACGAGATAACACTCAGCTAAAATATATTTAAAAACCTCAACAGCAATGTCTCTTTCCAGAAATCATGACCGGGTTTCTCAAGATAATCCACAGACCTTGCTGTGAGCAGTTTCATATAGGAACTATTTTATTTCTACCAAACTACACCCACCAACTGTATCACTGTGCAGAAGGAAGTGTGCATCTACTGCTAGCTCACCTAGCACCACTGAGCTAGCTAACATTACAGCTCAGCCAAGGAGGATACCATTAAAGTTTACATCTCACAGTGTCATTAGCATGAGCCTCTCATCCATGAGTAGAAGCACACTTCCTTCTGCGTGGTGATATGTTTGGTAGGTGTTGTAGAAAGAAAATAGCTCCTACATGGCACCTTGGTGACTTTTTGCTAGACTGGGGTGGCTGTGGCTCAGGAGGTAAAGCAGGTGGTCCATCAGTTGGAAGATCAGTGGTTCAATCCCCAGCTCCTGCAAGCCACAGCATCCTTGGCCAAGATACTGAGCCTCAAATGTGAGTGTGTTAAAGCTGAGTAGCAGGTGGCACCCTGTAGGGTAGCCTCAGCCACCAGTGTATGAATGTGACATGTAGTGTTAAAGCATTTTGAGTGGTTGGATCTATTGAGCAACTTTTCAGATCCTCTTAGCGACTCTATTTCAAAAAAGCGACAAGCAACAAATTCAGCAACATAGTCAGACCATCAGGGAACAAGAGAGCAATATATTGTAATTCATTCCCGTGCCTGCTGCTGAGTGTAATTGCAGTCCACAGCTCTCCTACCACCAGTACAGGGTCTCCCCTCTTCTCTTGCACTCTGCAGCAGGTGTGGGACAAGCAGGGCAGGAGGAGAGGAGGTGCCGCTCGCCATGGGAGGTCAGTTATAGTAAGCTTCTATGGTTACGGTGATGCTCTTGCTCTTTGGACTGGAAGCGTGAAAAAAGTGGTACACTATAGTTTAAATGCTGTCGCTCTCATTGAGGATTTTTTGATTGAATCTAATTCAGCAAAGTTTTAATGCAAGATTATGTAACCAATATGCAAATGAGGACATCTTCTTGTGACTTGTAGCAACACTTGGAGCAAGTGCTAGCTGCTTGTCTTGAGTAATCAGACTTTGATTTCTGGAAAGAGACATCAGTGTTGAGTTTTTCAGATATATTTATGTGGCGCTTTGAGCACCTCATGCCGAGTGCCATCTAGTTCCATTATATTAAAGAAGAGGCAGACATCTCTGTGACTGACATCTCCAACACTCAGCAACTCACACCAAAACAATCCAGAGTGATAAACAGGAAAACCATCTATTTCTGATTTTGGGGTGAACTGTCCCTTTAAGCTAAAATTACTCAAATAAATCTGAGATACTTTTACTATGAAGATTGCCTGGAGCGGGATTATAATAGAATAATATTTCTTTCGTGGTTGTTTAAGTCTTTAATACACCCTAGGCATGGGAAAAGGTAGTAAAAAATATATTTTCTGGCCTCCACACTGAGAAGAGATTACTGTATTTCAGAATAAAAGATTTTTCTGGAGTCATGTTTTAAAGTGCTGCAGGGTAGCGTTCACTCAATGTTTGATCCCAATCTTTCAGCATTAACAGCTGCAAATAGTAGCTTGATGCATATTTTAGTAGTCACTCTGTGATATCCTCAGTAACATGAGAATATGGAGGGACTTCAGGGTAATGCTGCTTAATTTATCGGCAAGCTAAGATGCTAGGTAGCTAAGTCATGGCTAGTCTAAGACTCTGTCTTTTGAAACGATTTTGTCACTGTTTTGAACTGTTTTTCCTCAAATTATTATTATTGATGTCTTTCTTTCTTTTTTGACATGATTGCCTGAAAGTCTCTGAATCCCCCATGCAATTACCACGGTTTAACCTTTTAACTTTATTGCTGGTGGACTAAACCATCTACAGCTCACACAGGGAAGAGAGCGCACAAGAGGCTTCAACAGTGTTTTAGAAACAAAGAATAGACTGTTAGCCACAGATAATAATTTGCTAATGAGGCTGACAATGTAAAATTAAAATTTGCAGATGTAAAACAAGCTTTTTATTTCCAGCTTCTTGAGTGTTGTCCCGATTTTTGGGCCCCAGGTAGTTTGTTCCACTATTCCCCACACTGAGGCTCCTGCTTCCATTCACAGATTAATAACAGGTCTGATAATCAGCAGTTAGAGGATGTTATGTATTATGGATGCTGTGCATAATGCTTGGAGATAACATTTTAAAAAGAGGTGATTATAAATCTGTTTTCTATGTAAGAAGTACATTAAGAAAAAAATCAGTTGAACATCAAACTTCATGGAAGTCAGAAAGTGTTTTTGTTAAATTGCAGGGTGGCCCATGTAGAAAAAAATTCCTTTACAAATTATCTGGCTGAGTACATGTTCATTATAGCGTAACTGCAAAATCAATTTCTTATGAAAATGAACTCCTTCAAATAACTGATAAATTATTATTGTTTATGAAATCAAATTATTCCTGAATAGATTTTTAAAATGTGATCATCCCACAAAATTAAAATTAGAAACTTAATCAAGACTGAGTTCGCATTTATGGCAGCAAAGGAAGAGATGGCTCACATGAATAAATTAACAAGACTGCTATTTAGCCTCTCTGTCTCAGAAGTGATGACTAACACAGTACGAACTGAAACCTTGGTGCCTCTTTGTCAAATAAACTGCACAGAGGGGGGGCTTGACCTCTAAATATGACTGTTTGGAATGAATGGTAACAGCCGTGCCTGTTGATGAAGCTGATAGTGAAAGATGTGAACAGATGACCAATTTTACTTCTCATTACTTGTTGATTATTCAGCCCTTTGCTATTTAGATTCAAATTATTCCAAAATTACTGTGGGATTTATGTAAATTCCACTGGAGCTGAGCACCTCAGCTCAGGATGAATGATGATTCATTCACAGGTTAATTCATTCTTCTCTGGCCAGCTGCAGGTTCAGATGTAAATATTAGTAAATTAAGAGAGAAAACAGTTGGAGAGCAGCGGATTTTAAATTCAGATTTGGTGCTGAGATGCTGTAATCCACTCCATAATTGTCTGAATTTTAAAAACAAATCTGTTGCATAAAAACCTCTTTGAACTGCTTTGATTTGTTTTTTTTTTGTTAAAAATATGTGCATGAAATTAACAGCGTGACACTATTCACAGTATCAAAGGTGAGGCATGTTAATGTTCCTCATACAACAGCCTAAATGCTTTTTTAAAGGAGCAGTGTGTTGAATTGATAGGATTTAGTGGCATCTTGCAGTGAGGATTGCAGATTGCAACTAGCTGAAACTTCTCCTATATGCTTTGCGTGAACTTGCGCACAGAGTTCCCTGAGTACTGTTCAGGAGGTTTTTACTGGGAGCTGAATTATCTGGAAAGGTTTCCTCCTCTCCAAAACAAACAGACCCAGTGATTTAAACCAGTAAAAACATCAAATAAAGCAGTTTCATGTTACAAATCAGTGTTTCTCTGGTGCTGTTTGGCATGTCACATATGGGCCACAAGTCCAGCA